ATAAAGCTCTCATTTTCTTCGGCTTTTGGTCAGTTTTGTCAACGAACCACCTTCAACAGCATATCCGGCCCCTCATCTTCCCCAATTAACCAGTATCTCGCGACAAGGTGATAAAATCAGAGACTTAGTGGTGATCAGCGATGCGAGAAGTGCAGTGTGAAATTTTGAATATTGAGGTGAGAGATTGAGAGGTCTGCGGATTGTCATGCGGAGTGCAGCATCATTTGATATCTCTTTAATGAGTCGGCGGTGTCTTAAGCGCTGAGGCTCGTGGAATGGGCGAAGAAGTGAGGAGCCAGCAAAATGACAAGAATGCTGCCTGCGCCGATGGGTCATTTTGCGGGCAAAAATTGCGCCCGCGATAGAAATCACCATCGCGATCGAGCGAGATTATCAATATTTCGGGTGCACTTGGCCATGGTCGGAATGCCTCAGATGCATTTTGATGCTCGCCAGTCACTGAGATGGAGATTGGTATCCGCGCCCGAAACGTGCTCCGAATACAAATGATGGGTAATTTATTGGACAGAAAATTGTTTTGTACTTGGAAGGCGCACCAGAGCTGGGCTGATTGTCTTTCGCGCGGTCCATCGAGGAACACTTTGTGGCAATATATTTGCGATCGCGGCGCGAGAGAACGCCCGACGATTGGGGCTCCGGGGCGGGAGCAAACGGGGGGCGGATGGCCGGTAATGGGACATTGTCGCGAGAGATCGATTGACACACAAGCGATCACCGACAACAATTTATTGTAATCAGGCCCGCGCGCAATGGTGAATTTATGCCATTGGCAAAGAAATGCCATCCGCGACTAATTTATCGATCTAGACCCTAATGATCCGCGAATGGCTTAATTAGGATCGCATCCAATCTCTTGTCGCGCCACTTTTTCCGCCTCACAATGCCCATTGCCGGCCATCGGGACACGCACAGAGAAATTCCCTCAAATTGCACCATTTGCACTCAATTGCATTTCCTCAATCTCTCCCCGCATTCACCCATTGTCTGTTCGTCAATTTTTCACGCGAAATTCCACCTTTTTACCAGACGCGCGATGGCCAAAAATGGACGTGGAATTTTGGGCTGGATTTGACGGGGATCTGCGTGTCCTTCCAGGGCGACGAAATGGGCATTCTTTCAGGTGCACTTGCTGAATCACATGCAATGTATCCAACGCAGACTAGAGAAATACAACCGACATTCGTGAGTTCATTTAATGAGAAAACGAATAAGCAGTGCAAGAATTCCAAATTGCTGTGCGCAAAATTTGTTTGTCGATAGATTTCCCCGAAAGAGGCCCTCAAAGGTGCATCTCAAACTGACGATCCTGATGGCAGCCCAGCGAACTCCTTGAGGCCACGTTAGCAACTCAATCTACATTTTTTGGCGTCATCATCGTGCGGCAGATTTCACATGTTTTGCACAAGAATGCCAGGCCATAGTTGAAGAAAATCAGCCCCTGAGAAATTTATACAGATAAAAATGTGAGCAGGTGTACACGACACTTCGTGGATCTCCTTCATCTGACTCCCAAAAAATGCCCAAATGGTCGTTCGATTATCTTCTTGCCTCTCCTCTTCTGTGGGTCGATTTCGGGGCGCTTTTTTGCTCTCTTCGCCCAAGATCCACAGTGCCTTGGCGAGGAGGCAAAAAGGAGACAGAGATAGATAGAGAGGAGGCTGAAAAAATTGTTGTGGTGACTGAGTGAAAAAAAGACACCTTCGAGATTTATCAATAAATGCGCCCGTGAGATGAAGAGAAGCATAGTGGAAGTGGACAAAAAGCGCTTCTCTGCCTTTTCGTGTGAGATTTTAGAGAAATTAATTGGGCAACCGATTCGCCCCAGAGGCTGAGCCTGTGTGAGAATCTGACAGGAATTTTGAGCGCGATGTAAGATGGTTTTGTCATCCACAACAAAACGGCCAATTCTTCTCCGACCACCTGGCGCTATACAAATTCCTCCTGGCCAAGCAATAGAGGCGAGAACTGAGAAATAAAACGATACTTTTACTCTTTCTCCTCACACTCGTGGCCGCGAGACTTTTTTGCTTCATGACTCAGATTTGGACCGCCTCGGCAATTCGGCAGTAATATTCTATTAAAGAGGTATTCATTATTTATCGATTTCATCCCCCCTCTGCGCTCGCACCGGGAACAATTCGGCTGGGAATTGAAACTTGTTCACATGATCGTCCAAGTGAACATTCTTCAGCCCAACGGACGCTTTTTGTCCATCCGCACACCTTTCTGGCCCTCCTCACAAATTTTTGGTCTATCGCCACCTGCAAGAGTTGGGATGCATTCGCGCAATCCCACGGGGGTAATCTGCCTATTCCGGCTCCTCATCCTCCCTTCGGGCCACCTTGAGTTGCCCGGGAAAGATGTTGCCCAAGAACGCACCTGTTGAGTGTCTTTCAATAGAGCCAGAGTCAAAGAAGTGGCAACTGAAGTTTTTCACATTCACTCACGAGGTGCGACGCAACCTTTTCATCAATTAAATTAGACTCTCGCAGCTGAAGCTGCAATTTCACGATGAGATCGGATTAATCGAATTAGAATTGTGATTCGTAAGTGATATCTTTTCAGTTTGACCACTCGAGGAGAAAATGTGGAATTTCCTCACGTGTGAGAAGAAGGGAACTCACGAAAGCAGTGCTTTTATGTGTTTAAATTAGTTTTAATTCATTTATAGTGGCTTCGGTACTTTTTATTAAAAACTCTGTTCAGCAAGGATTAAAAACAACATTATCATGAAATCATGTTTGCAGTGTTGAAAAAATTTTTGCAAAAAAGTGAAAGGGAATTGTATGAAAATCAGGCAAAATAATGTTGTTCCTTGGTTAACATGCGTTTTTTTTCTTCAATATCATCTCGCGATAATGATCTCATATCAGGCGCATTTCAGAAGAAAGCTGGTTTTTTTCATCGAAAAAATATTAACATAAACGTGTCATCACTTTGCAAAGATTCCATCTCAGATTGATGAGCGTAATATATTTTTCGTGTGAATTAATTGCCAACGGACTAATTTCCTCACGAGGTGCAGCTTAATCTAAAATGCCAAAAGGTGGTCGGCGTCGTCTCGAGAAAGGCGCGCAACTGAAGAGACTCCCTTGGCTCGCATGTCTAATAAGATGTTTTGGTCGAAAGGTGAAAATTTCCAGGTAAAACACGGACTTGTCGATCGCATCGGCCACTCTCTCCGCGTCCACCTGCCCCGGATATCGAGACAGCTCACGAATGGCTGTGCAATCGCCGGGATCTATTGCAGATGTCGGCGAGAGGATGTTGAGACATTGTGCAAGAATTTGCGCCCCATTCTGACACACTTTCCCGAGGGGGCGACGAAAAAAGCGCCAATGAGATATTACGCCAAATCGCCTCTGTGCCACAGTTTCGCACATTCTGGAAGGCATAACAATAAAATTATATGGCGTGTGACACAGAGTCTCGAAATTTCGCAAGTGCAACTGGCTGAAGGATTCGCCAGTCGTACTAATTGAATTTTTGCTAATTTCTCTGACATTCCTCACGTGGCTTCGCACACAGGCCCGCAAATTTACGAGGCGGCTGCCAAGAAGAAGTCTGCTGTGCCACTTCACGGGTGGACGCGACTGTGGGTGGGAGTTCATTCTGGCGGTGGTGCGTTCGCCAGAATGCCCACTGAGCAGCAAGACAAGAGCTGTGAACCACTTGAGATCAATTTATATCAATTTGACCACCAAATTGTTGCTTCTGGCTCGCGTGTGTTGTGTTTCTCACATCTTGCCTGATGAAAATAGTTCTTGGCGCGACACATTGAGGTGACCAGCTGCGAATCGTGACTCCTCAATGAGTTGAGAGCGTTCCGGATGCCGCACCATGAAAAACATGAGCAGCGATGCCGTCGCGACGCATGAAATGCTTTGGCATGCTGAGCGATGCTCAGCGCGAGCATCAAAAGGGCCAAATCACTCTCTCCTCTGTGTCTTCTCTATGAAGAGTGGCCTTTTTGTGTTAGTTTCGTCACCAGCGAAAGAGTTGCCAATTGCCGTGTATATAGTTGAGAGATTCGCCCTTATGACTGCGTGAACACTCCGATATTGTAGAGATTCATAAAGAATTGTGACAATAATTCACATTTCGGTACTAATGAATGAGACATGATACAAAGTATTGCGTGAGAGTTAAATATTTCATAACACAAATTCAATGCTTGATTGGGATAACGGGAGGACTCTTCGAAATCACACCCACTCGAAAGTCCCGCCCATTAGTTAAAACAACAACTTATGAAAAATTCCTCAATCTATCGGCGACAATTTCCCTGGCTCACAAATCAGCAACTCTGATTTGTCACTCTCAAGACGCAAATATAGAAATTTCTAAGATTGGATTCATCCAGCGGAGGCTCCTTCTCAATGATGTCTTTTCCTGCTTCTCCCAACCATCAACACCGTCTCACGCGCCTCAACGGTGACTGAAGAAATTCCTCATTTTGAAGATTCTCAAGTGACTTCGCGAGGAGATTAAAATAATAAACAATCTCTCAAATTCAGCACACAATATTTCGCTCTCAAAACATGCATCGCAATCCCCCCAAGTGTTCGCTTTCCTAACCGACAACCGCTCCTTGCGCGCCTATCCGCCACACAACTCCCAATCCTCAATTGCAACGCGCCCCGTGTGTTAGAATGGGGCGCCGAAGGCAAGGGAGGGAGAAAGAATGTGCTCTCAACAATGTGCCGGGAAATTTGAGCGATGATTCTAATTAGTGGCGCCAATTTGTCAAGCTCTTCCATTTCTTCTCTCTTTGCGCTGAATTTTCCCTACTTCAAGTATACGAGGCACTTTTGCATGAGATGTTATTTCTATAATTCATAACTTCCTCGTCTCATTTTCGCGAATACATCATGCCAGAGTAAATAAACTCTAAAACGCCGTCATAATCGTCTCTGTTTGTGCCTCGAAATTCACTCCACGCGTTCACTTTCATTCCGCCAAAATATATACAAGCAAAATTCTTTTACAATCATTTATTGTCGAAAATTAAGGTGTACAGATTTTTCTTTTAAACTCTTGATAGATACTTTTTCTCTTACATGTTCTCTGCTATAGAGGTTTATACTCTCATTTCCTTCCACAGAAAAAAAACGTCCTAAACATTACTTTTCTCTGCGCCTTTGTAACATTTCTCAGCGATGGTAGAAACGTGCTATTAGAGGATTGGGTCCAATTTATCTCATGCCATGATATTTTTCCGCTTCAACTCCAATCCTGATGGCTCTATATGCTCTCACTATAACTCTGTATTTAGTCTCCTAAAAAATGTTTTTCTTTCTCCTCACACAACACAAAAAAAAAATCACTAAATCAAGTACATAATTTTGGTGGTATTTCTTCTTCTTCTATACTTTCAGAGAATATTACTCAATGTAAACAATCATTTGTAGCCACCATAAGAATGAAGTGAGGCTCACAGTGATTACTTTTTTTTTCTCATCGTCACATATCGTCACTAAATAGAGACATTATATAAATAAGTGTTTTGCCATATTACTTACAATCAACTCTCTGACTCTATACAATTAAGTTAAATGTTTGCATTCGGAAATTTCGTACGGGGGAGACAATTGAGAATGCGAAGAACGGCAACAGAGGAAATTAAAAGGTAAGATAAATTACTCACATTTGAAATTTATGCTTTTGATGTTTTTTTTTTAGACTGTCTCGCACTGAAGACACGCGCGAAGATTACTGTTTGGCCAATTGCTTCATGCGATTCAGAGCACTGCCAGCCTTAAACCATCCAATTTGTTGCTCATTGAGTGTGTGATTGAGCTTTATGCGATCCACCTTGCCATCAGTATGCTTAATTTCACAATCAATTGGCTGTCCCGGTGCGATATCCTTAAGGCCGAGCAGAGAGATTTTCGATGTTGGCTGAATCTGCAAGAACACAGAGAAAATCTCGTCAAAGGCATTCTTTTTCTACACCCAAATATTATCCAAAGTCACAGAACATTAGGCTTTTGGGCTAAAGAGTACGACAAATATACGTTCAAAGAGGTTATTGATTGTGTCGAAGTACAGAAGAGTTGTAGAAAATATTGGGAACAACTCCTGATAAAGCACTCTATTCACTTTATCACACAGTTATGATTGGAATACTCTCTAAAAATGATGGAAATTTACACAAATAATCGCATTCACCAGTAAAAAATTTTATCACATTCAATGTGTACCCAAAATATTCGATAAATTCACTACATCATGAGATTTTCTTTTTTGCCAATTTTCCGTTGACTCATGCCGCTAAAGAATACGTCTGTGTCCTAAGTGGATGTGCAAATACGAGATAAAAGAGCACTGTATCTATTGATATTGCGTCGCAATTACCTTATCGTAGTCAGCAGGATCGGCGAAGGTGAGTGGCAACAGGCCCTGCTTCTTCAAGTTCGTCTCGTGGATTCTGGCAAAGGACTTGACAATGATTGCACGTCCGCCCAAGTGACGAGGTTCCAACGCGGCGTGCTCGCGCGACGATCCCTCGCCGTAGTTCTCATCACCCACAGCCACCCATCTGACACCCTTGGACTTGTAGTGGCGCGCCACATCGGGCACACCGCCCCATTCGCCTGTCATCTGGTTCTTGATCTTGTTCATCTCGCCGTTCTCCGAGTTCACAGCGCCAATGAACATGTTGTTAGAGATATTGTCCAAATGACCGCGATACTTGAGCCACGGACCAGCGGCTGAGATGTGATCAGTGGTGCACTTTCCCTTCACCTTGATCAGCACCGTCATCTCCTGCAGATCCTTGCCATCCCACACATCGAAGGGCTCCAGCAATTGGAGGCGATTGCTCTTGGGATCCACGTCCACTTTCACACTTCCACCATCGGACGGAGGAGCATCGTATGTGTCCTGACCCGGATCGAAGCCCTTGTTGGGCAATTCATCACCAAATGGCGCTTTCAGCTTGAACTCCTTCCCATCGCCACCCTTCAGTGAGTCCGTGAGCGGATTGAAGTCCAATCGACCGGCAATTGAGAGCGCAGTGACCATTTCGGGGCTGAAACGACAAACCACACACGATTAATTGCCAGCAAAGGTAGTGATTTTCTCCATTCTCATCACCCTCGCGCATCCAACATTTAACGAGTCAAATGAAGGAGACATTCAGTCATAAGGCGCACCATTTAATTAGTCATTTACTATTCATTAGCACTCTCACATACTGTTTGATTGTGGCTCTCTCACAACTATTGTGGCTGTTCTGATGCCAACAAATGTGGCTGTTTAAACATCAATTGAAATTTTAATGTAAATAGTTTGTTGTAATTAAATTATCATGAGGTGATCGGTGAATAGTTCACCAAATTACTATATCAATATTTTATGAAGTAATTATGCGTGAAAATGCGGAGTTAATTACTGTAAAACGGTATTTAGGGGATGAGAAAGGAGAAATGCCAACAAAATCATCTCACCTGGTAACGAAACAGTGAGTGGCAGGATTGGCGTCATTTCGACCCGTGAAATTACGATTGTAGGACGTCACGATGGTGTTCTTCTCACCCTTCTTCACATCCTTCCTGTCCCACTGTCCAATGCACGGTCCACAAGCATTGGCCAGCACAGTGCCTCCAAACTGTCTGAAGGTCTCAGCGATGCCGTCACGCTCAATTGTGGCGCGAATCTGCTCAGATCCAGGCGTCACGTTGAAGGGAATCTTTGACTTGATGCCGTGCGACAGAGCATCCTTGGCGATGGCAGCACATCTGCCCATGTCTTCGTATGAGGAATTCGTGCATGAGCCAATGAGACCCACTTTGATATCGAGAGGATAGCCGCCCTTCTTGGAGTTGTCGCCCAGCTTGCTGATAGGATGGGCAAGATCGGGCGTGAAGGGTCCATTCACATGGGGTTCGAGTTTGTCCAGGTTAATCTCGATCACATCATCGTACTTGCAATCCTTGTCGGGTGACAGGAGTTTTCCCTGGAACTTGGTGGCCTCAGTAGCGATGCCAGCACGACCGGTGGACTTCAGGTAGTCAGCCATGCGGTTGTTGAAGGGGAAAATTGACGTGGTGGCACCAATCTCGGCGCCCATGTTGCAGATTGTGGCCATTCCCGTGCAGGAAATTGAGTCAACACCCTTTCCATGGTACTCAATGATGGCTCCAGTGCCGCCCTTCACGGTCAGGATGTCCGCCACTTTGAGAATGACGTCCTTGGGTGAGGTCCAGCCACTGATCTTGCCCGTGAGATGCACTCCGATCACATTGGGGCACTTCAGCTCCCAAGGAATGTCCGCCATCACGTCAACAGCATCAGCTCCGCCGACGCCAATGCAGAGACCACCCAAGCCACCGCCATTGGGCGTGTGAGAGTCCGTGCCGATCATCAGCAGTCCGGGAAAGGCGTAATTCTCCAGGATGATCTGATGGATGATTCCGGAGCCGGGCTTCCAGAAGCCCACGCCATACTTGGCTCCGGCCGTCGACAGGAACTTGTACACCTCGGCATTGATATCCTTGGCGCGCTTCAAGTCCTGCTCGCCACCAATTTGCGCCTCGATTAAGTGATCACAGTGGATGGTCGATGGCACGGCCACGCGCTTCAGTCCGGACGAGATGAACTGCAGCATGGCCATCTGGGCGGTGGCGTCCTGCATGGCAACGCGATCGGGTCTCAGACGCAAGTACGAGACTCCGCGCTGGATGTCCTGGTTCTGAGGATCGTCCAAGTGGGAATAGAGGACTTTCTCGGCCAGCGTCAGCGGGCGATTCAGGCGCTTCTTCACCACTTCAATGCGCGACGCCAGCTTCTCGTAGGGAAGATACACGGAGCTGTCGAACTTGGAGAGGGCGACTTTGGAGGCAGTCGCGCAGGAAGCGTGGAAGAGTCGCTGCTGCAGATTCATGGCATGAGCGGCCGCGGCAGCGCGCTTCGCCTGGAAATCACAAAAAGAACAATGCGCAATTAAATTTTTGCTTCATAGTTTTCTCGTTTTTAGACTCACAAGTAATTTATGCTAGCAGAAGAAATGAAATGCGCGAAAAATTCCAATAAAAATTTAATAATGAAGATTAATTGTTTATTGTGTTGGGAATTGATTACGAGTGAGAAGGTAATCAATGGAGATTTATTTATTTTATTATCTGCACTTCATTTGCATCATCGTTGAGAGTGATTGAAAACAGTAGTTTCATGTCAAACATAAGATAAGACAATTCATTAGGAATTTGCGATGCAAATCTGCACTGTTTTTATTTAATACATGCCTTTTAGAATAGAAAACAACCATCAACTGATAAGAGAGACATGATTAGATGCATATGATTCACATTTAATGGTAGAAATTTATACGAGACATAATGATTTTACATAATAATTGAATATAAAATAGAAACAGTTCTTGTGATTAGAAATTGAACACTTTAAGGACTTTGAGAGATTGTGAGTAATAGCTAACGTAGCTCATATGAAAACTGCCCCGCCTTACTCTATAATCAGTTCATCGCACATTCTTCACAGCTTTGCTTTGATTAGCTGATAGTAATACTTCAATGAGCTCGTACACATATGTAATGTTTACACAGTTTCGAGTAGATTTCATTGCATCAACACTGAAGTGACCAGCTTAAAATGACATCGTAATAATTATTATTATCAAGTAAATTTAGGAAAGAAGGTCAAAATGAGTTCATGTACGTATTTGTGTCTAAAATGACAATTTTTATTGAATTTGATAAAAATATTGGCCATGCAAAATATTCCACTCTTCGTTCGTTATTCAAAATATGTATATGTTTTCTTTAGTACTCCATTCTAAAATCGTCTCAAGATCACGCCAGTTGCCGATAAGCTCAGTATGGATAAAGACATCACGTCGTGAAAAATTTATTCAACCACTTGAGCAAATATTTGGCTGTTTCTCCATTGATGACGCGACATGGCTATTATCGACAGCTCAGTGTAGACAATGTACGAAAGCTCACACAAGGTCTGAATTTGCATAAACTGCCAATTAATCATGTTTCTAATTAATTCTCTGCTGTTGCGTTAAATTTTTGCCCATCTTGGAATCCAGGGAGGGATTTTTTCGTTCTCCAGTCTGGACAATCTGGAGATTTTGGTTGAAAAATTCCACTCGGGCAAATCGCAATCTGTCGTCACGTGAGGCCGTCTGGGGAGTTTCTGGTGAATGAAAGGCGCGCGGTGCAAAAAGCAAATTGGTGCCGCAGTGTCAGCAGTTCTGCGATAACCGACGACCCCATTCGAAAGTCCGGCTCCCGGAAAAATCCTCCGGCGGAGAGATCAAAACACGGGCGATTGTTTTGCTCGTTGGGGGCACTCTTGTGGCCTCGGCGGAGCGCTCGCGTGGGACGGACACGTCAAAATGACCAGAAATAGATCACTTTTATTTATAATCTCGGCCTCGGCGTCATCATGCAGCCGAAGAAAGGTGAAAGACGGGCAGAAGAGCGGTTAGATAACGAAGGGACTCCCTGACTCTTGGAGGTTATATCACACCTCTGCGCATCCAGGCAATCGCGCGGGAGCAATTACAGCTGCTCATCATCCATTGGACACCTCTTATCAGATTCTCATGACTTTTATCGCAATGCGACGGGTTGTTCAGTGGTAAATTGCGCCTCAAAATCCGCAAAGGAGGTCGTCAAATGTCACTTCGGATTTCAGGGATTTTCACTGGGAAATGCGGCGAAAACTCACCTGCCGGGTGATTATCCTCGTCGAGTAGGACATGGTGAAGAGTTTTGCGGGTGCAAAATACTGAGATTGTCGATATTTCACTGGGACTTTCCACGGATTCACAGATCTTCAGCCTTCTCAGCTGGAAGATTCAACTGTTCTGCTGTTTTTACGTAACTGCGCTGCTCTTAAAATACAGTCGCCGACGTAGTAAAATCTGCGTCATGTACCAAGGCGTAATTAATAAGTTTACTGCAAAGTAGCGAGAATTTTGTCAATCTTCACGCAAGTTGAAATCATTTACATTCTCTTAAGTTGTCTCTAAAAACCTCTGAAATTCACAAACAAACACGCAAAATCACACATTACACTCTCCGAAACGTGTAATTTAATAGCGGAGTCTTTAAACATTCCTTACACGTCATTCTTCAGAGAAGACGTTTAAATTTCCCGGCGAGAAGACCATCAAATGCCACTGTTTTGAAACCAATGATTTTTATTGATGGCGCATTGTTGGGCAGAAAATTGATAAAATCCAATAATTCTAGACTCCTTAGGCAGTCCACTTTAAACACCTGGTGTCCTGGTGTGTCCCTAAACACCGCACACAACAGTATCTCGTGCCACAAGAGGTGCAAGTGTAATTTGAAGGAAATCCGCAAACGGCACAAAAGTGTCGGTCCGGGAATCTCGATGGAGGCGCCTGAGCGCTGCCGTAGTTTGGAGGATCCGGCCTCAGAGTCTTGTCTTCCTCCAGCAGCTGGGCGAATGATTTCCGGTACTTCGCCTTGAAATATTCCGCGTTTTTCGGCTTCTTTCCCTTCTTGTTCTTCGATGTGTCGAGATTATCTTGGAACTTAGGCACTTTCTTGGACATCACGAGATCTGCGTGCGGGTCATCGTGGAAGTTGTCTTGCTCAAGAGCCTCCAGAGCCTTCCGAGCGCGTCTCTTCCTCGACGCCTCATCGAGCACACGCTTCTTGTCCGCTTCCTTTATCCTTCCTGACTCGCGACTCGTCATTTCTGGGCAATTAATTGGTCTTGTCGTGTAAAGGGAAGCTCATCTGATCCATCAAATCGTCCACTTTGGCTTGCAGGATTTCCACAATGTCCGTGGAGATGAAGAGGTGCTTCTCGTCGAGATCTTGAATGATGAACTTGCGTCCCAGAGCCAAAGTATCGTCGAGATGCAGGAGGAATTGTTTCATAGCCGGATCGCTGAAATTACAATTGATGGGTTTCCCAGAGTATTTCAGAAATCATGCTCAATAAAGCCATTTCCATTAGTTTTTCAGCTTCGCACGACTCACCATTCAACAAGAACTCCTTTCATAACATTCACCATTGTTTAGAGTAGCATTTGTCCCGTATTTTCGGCACAATTTCACCTTTTTGCGAAAACTTTCTTGAAAACACGACTGACGCGATTGACAAATGGAAGTGTTGTTACAAGAGTCCGCGTCCAGGGGCGCTACAATCTTTGGAGACTTCCAATGCTCTTCCAATGCAGTTTTGGCGCCTTTGTTGAAATTGTGCCGTTCTTTCCAGATTATCAAAATGCAGTTATATTTGGATAATTGAATATATTTATTTGCCATCTGGCTATCTGAGGGTTCATCCATCTACAAAATCATCAAACATTGGCCATAACGCATCCAAATAACCAGTAATTCTCATTAGAATTTCCAAAACTCAACACTCTGGTCAACTTCTTCGTCTAGCGCGATAGAATATTGTGGGAAAGGTTCAGTAGAAATCTAACCATAACTTACATCGTGCCTTCTAATGGTAACTGCAGTGCCATGTGCTAATTCCGTAGTTATAAATGTCTTGCTTGCTTTTGCCATTGAGCCATAAGAAGTTTCTCCAGATTCCTTCGCATTTTGTTCCATTCCAGTCCAGTCTCCTTTGATTCCCAATCCTTCAATCCATCCAGGTTGTCGCCGAGCGACAGATTCCTTTATGAGGGCACCTCAGACAGCAATCGCTTTCTGAATTGCTCCTCGCCAAAGGCTATTTGGCGGGAATTTGCTTCTTGGTCGCCACAGGCGGCAGAGCGGGCAGAGGTGTGGCCCGGCGCATCGATAGCATCTTCTTCTGGCGCGATATATCCTTCCGGATGTCCGTGAGCTTCTTCTCCATCTCCTTCTTGCGCACCACCTCGTGCTCAAGGCGCTCACTCAGCACGAAAGTCCTCTTCCTGAGATCCACAATATGCTTCACGAGACGCTCGGAAGTGTTGCGCAAGTTCGCCTGAAAGTGTCCACACAGATGAACAGATAAATGGGGTGTTCCACTTTGCAAAGTCTATTCTAGGACACTCTGCAGTCAATTATCAGAGGGGTGAATCGCAGAGCGGAGTTAATTGCCTGCTCGTGGCTCCACTAACATTCTTTTTATGTCTATTTTATGTATTTCCAAAGTGTCTTTTCCATTTCTACAAAGGTGACATGATAAGTCATCTTTGGCCGTGACTCGCGGAATTTTAGCTAGATTATGAGGATAATCGGAAATATTTCACTCCCAATCGATAAAGCAATATTTTATTATTGTGGAAACTTGAATGCTGCTAAGCCCGCTAAGAATAAAATATATGTGAATGCCAATGGTTACGAAGGCCAGAATTGATTCATTGGCAAATTAAGAAATATAATACGAGAATATTCTGAAAAGGCTTATTAATCACAGTCATATTGTTAGGCTCTTTCCATTATTGTTCGTCAATACATCAAATAAAGGGCTTTGATTGCGTGAAAATTGATTCTTCACGTCAGCTTATACGAAAAGGAAAGTCTAGAGAAAATTGGAATCCTCGCGATTCGTGAAAGTTCTGCCAACTTCGCAGCTAGAAATTATTCTGCTGTCAAACATAGAAAGTTAGTGGTGGTCCCTCGAGCCGAAATATCTTAGAGTTAAAGGGTTTGGCATTCTTACCATCTGCGACGGACGCACTGGGAGATGAATATGAGCGTGAATAGTTGCATTGGTTGTAGCCGAGGACTGACAACTTGTTGCAGCCGTTGTTGTCGTGGCCGTGGTCGCCGCAGTCGCCGGCGGCAGCTTCTCCTTCCCGTGATGGTGCCTGTGGATGTTGTCGCGCGGCTTCCCATGACAGGGAGGCTTGTGGTGCTTGGCGCATCCCTCCAGGTGCCACTGGATGTGCTCGATCTGGTGCATGAGCCGAGCATGCTCCTTGCACAGGTGCGCCCCCTTGTGCTCCAGCTCACTCAGCAACTCCTTGCGTGTCTTGTCGTACTAAAAGTGCCATTCAACCATTTGTTATTCGTGGATTATCTCGCTAGGGGTGGGCTGTTTATTTATGGATTTTCCATAGGCCTCTCTCTGTCTGTCTTTGTCTGCAGAGTGGGCTCTTTCGCCCACGATGATTGATTGACTTATAACATGATTGTGTGTGCTCTCACCTCTTCCTGCCTCTCCCGCTCCTCCTTCTGCATCTTTGCGAATTTCAGCGACATTGACTTGTAGTTCGCCTCGTGATCGTGTCTCTCCTTCAATATGGCGTTTATCTCCTCCAGCAGATGGATTTCTGGACACGAAGACAGAAGAAGAGATCAATGTCAGCAATAAAAGGATTGATTAGAATGCCTTACTGTCTTCGTTCGCTGAGATGTGATCCTTGATGTCTTGAAAGCCGCGGGGCGAGAGCATATTCCTTTCTTTCCTCTGGAGCTGGAGAACTTTCTGCAGGGGCGACACACAACTCGACGGGTCGAGGGAAAATTTTGCACTGAACTCAAAGTTTCCAGTGACAACGGCCAAACGAGAAAATCCATCGTGTACTTTCCCAGCACTTCTCTTTCACTCTCTGTGTGCTTTTTGCCAGAGACATGAGGGCATTGCCGATGGATTTGTCTGCTGAAATCACCCGCCAAAGTTTAATGGCATCACGCAAATTCCTCCCCACCCATCGTCCCTTCATGGGCACACAGTCTGTCGGAATGCCTCGGAAATTCACCCTCGAGTCGCGCACAAATTCTATGTCAAATCTCAAGGGAGGCGTGATTGCTCCTCATTGGCCTCCACTGGGCCACGAAGAAGTACCTTCGCGTGAGCACCGTTTGCTTTCTTTTCTTTGCTCCCCGCCGATCAATTTGCCACTTTTTTCGCTAGGCTTTTCAGCCAATTCGTGTGTGTGTCTTCATGAATGATACACTTTCGTGTTTATTCTAATTTCACCACCCCAAAACACGAGACAGAGGGAGGAGGAAATGTGAATCTTCCGCCCAATTCCGTCGCTCTTGGCGAAAAATGTGAAATCAATAGTGGTTATATTGCAAATTTATGACAGAAACAGTGATATTTTGCCAGCTATATTGCATAGTTAATTGAATATGACCCAGTTGTGTGTTGTTTTCGACCAATCAATAGAAATATTTAACAGAAATTCTCGACTGCATCGCGATTTGAGTCTATGATTTGCGCGGGAGAATTTTGGCGCGAAGCCGCCTTCCAGTCTCCAGAGGCGCACAAGTGAGGTTATGGTGTATTGTTTTGGTGCTTTTGCTGACTTGACAAATTTTTACTCCCCCATTTTTCACTGATATTTTTAGGTTTTTCACTAGTATTCCCTATCAAAATCATGGAAACATTGAAATTGTACGAATTGGCACAGCAAGACTTTCATGAGCTGGAGATTTTGCTGAGTGAAAAGCCAGAATTCACTGCCACGAAAGACAGCGTAGGCAAATCACCCTGTTGAATCCCGGAAGTTTGTGTAAAACACGTTTATTTTCACAGAGTGAGAGATATCTTCTGCATTGGGCGGCCTTGGGTGGTCGAGTGGAGCTGGTGAAACTCCTTCTGGCCAGGGAGACAACATTCCTCCATGCTCGAGATGACACGGAAGCGACACCTTTGATTCTCGCCACTCTCGGCGGGAATCTCGAGATGGTGAAGCTTCTGGTGTCGAAAGGAGCAAATATCACTGATAGAAATTGGCACGGCCACTCATCCCTCCAGTATGCCTGCTCTAAGGGCCACCGGGACATTGTGGAGTTCCTCCTGGATAAAGGAGCGGATGTCAATGTGCGGGACGATCGCAGTGACACTTGTCTCCATCGACTGGCCTCCACTGGACGACGAGACATCATGGAAATGATCCTCAAAACTCCCCAGCGAATTGATCTCAATGCCCAGAATCGCGAAGGTGACACGCCACTTCATCTCGCCTGCCAGGAAAAGCAGCTGGAGTGCGTGGCACTGCTGGTGGAGTCCGGAGCCTCTGTCCACATTCTCAACAAGGAGAAAAAGTCTCCGCTGGACTACTGCACAACGCTGGTGCGTCGGGAGATCCTGGAAAAGCTGAATCTGGCCGAAACGCCTGCGTCATCTTAACCAGTAACTCGTTTATTAATCTCTGTCATCAAATAAATAAAATGGTATTCTCACCAACATCTTGGGCAAGATATACTCCTGGTTAATTTGGTAATGGTAGTAATCTGACTCTCTGAAATCACAGATCAAGCACAAAATTCAAATCCTGACAAGAGAACACGCACACAAAGAGGACGGTAAAATGAAGAATTGCGCTAGTTAGAATAGCAATAGTTGCGCTTTCGATAAAATGCCGAGCTTATACTGGCGTCCAGTGATCTGCGCGCCAGATGAGAGCGTGCATATTACTGCTGCGATCCTTCTGGCTGTTGCCACTCGAGGAGTGCTCAGGACTGCCAAAGAGATGCCTTCTCTCACTGCCGGACGGGGTGGTGATTGATTTCGGGGCAGAGTCCGTGTACCGATGGATCAGGGAGCGATATCCGCGTCCAATGGTCACGATAAGAGGCACAAGATTGTGCCCAGGCGTATACAAAGGCAAAATGCAACGAACCTGGCGAAAGAAAACCATGATATTACATTCAAATTCACTGAAGGAGAAGACATGAGATTCTCACCTCGTCATCAAAGGGACGAAAGACTGTGATGGGACGCATGGAGTCCTTCTCAACGATTATCAAGCATCCCCACGTCGTTCCAATGTACAAGTCATTCTTAAGCACCGCAAGAGCTGTTATTTGACACTTTCCCGGACTCAAATGTTCCTCAATGGCGATACTCCGGAGACTCTCAGAGCACGGGATGAGTTTTGAGCAATCCAAGCGATTCTCAATCTCCTTCCTGGACACATTCCACTGATACAGAATACATCCTGGAGCCACACATGAGAAGACGTACTCTTCAGAAGCGTGCAGCAGTACAACATTCGATTCTCTGCCACCCAGAGAGACATCAAAGTGATTCAGAAGCGTGTGTTCTGACACCACAGAGTCCTTCAGTCCAAAAACATTCATAGCGCCATCCGTTTCTCCACACCACAATTCACATACTTCATCATCCAAGCGCCACAGCGCACAGACACTGTGAAGACGCTCGCCAGAGCCCAGCTCTGTGAGGACAAAGCTTCCCTCGGCAGAAACATAACTCGCTGGTATGTTAGAAGAGTCCAACAGGAAGAGTCGCCCATTCTCCAAGCCAGCCGCCACTCTGTTGATGCGACTGAGATGCACAAGAGCAACCACTGGACTCGGCTGAGCTGGCTCCAAAGCATAAGAGAACAGATGAGTACAATCAGACGCACTGCAAGCAAGATAATGTTCAATTAGATCATCTTATTCGCACTATCCTTACAAGAATATTCTTACTTGAATGCATAGATATTGCCATCGGCATCGCCTATCCAGACAGAAGTGTCCACAACACAAACCGTCGTCAGCTTCATCGGACTGCTTCCGCGTCCTTTGGAGATTTTCGGGCAGAGAATCCTGTGATACTGCTGCCATCCCTTCGGAGAGCCCAGCAGCAAGTCAATGCGAGAGTTTGAGCAGGGAAGCCACAACTCATAAGACAGAGTGTCATCCTCTGGACTCGCCACCACGGGATATCCAACACCTCCCAGGACACTTCCAGGGTGTGATAGCGAAACTACATCGAGAAGATGCGTGAACTCTGGAGCGCTGGCGATGGAGACAATCTGACTGGCAGATGGTCGGTTCTTAGGCTGTTGATCCCAGCACAGCACCATCAAGTCCAGACAATAGCAGGGAAACTGCGTCTCTCTCTGTGTCAGCACTGGTCGTCCACCTTCCAGGATGCACTCCTTGACTGCCTCGTGCCCCTCGAAAGGCTGCCTGAGGGAGAGAAGCTCATACAGGAACATCCCGAAGGAGAAACAGTCCACCTTTTCTGTGTACTCCTCCTCGCCATTGTGTCTCATAATCTCCGGCGCCATGAATCCCTCCGTGCCGCCAAATCCTTTTGCACCCGAAGGCAAAGTGACGCGACTTATCCCATAATCTGCCACTTTGATGTGCACATTGTTGGCCGGATGATCAATTGCGTGAGGTTCTGGGAAGTCCCACACCAGCACATTCTCTGCCTTCAGATCACGATAGATCACGTGACGTCGATGGAGATATTCCATCGCCCGAGCGGCCTGCAAAACCAGCGACTGGAAACAGTAGGGCCCAATCCTGGCTCCACTCCTGCGATATTGCCTCAGCACAGTGTCAAGAGCTCCTTTTGGCGCCAAATCCAACACCAGCGCCAACGGTTGCGTGCAAACGCCCACAAGAGGCACAATATTGGGATGCTTGAGTGTCAGGAGGACGGCCAACTCCTGCCTCGCTGTGCAGTAAGCCTTGCAGGAGTGCTGAAGAGGATCTCGCTCCCACTTGCCCAAGGCTGCTTTGTAGGCAATCACTGCGCTCTCCTTGGCTCGTGATCCCGGCGGCACGGGCTGCAGCATCTTCATTGCGACTGGAATGAGACTTCGTGACACTCTCGACTTGCACGTGGCCTTGAAGACGAATCCAAAGGCGCCACGACCAAGCAATGGACCCTTTGTGATGTCTTCTGGCCGGATCAAGTAGCAATCGGACAAATCCAGGAAGATCTGGCGAAAACAGAGAAAACCAAAATCAATTATACTGAAAGCAAGATTCTATGATTTACACTCACAATGTCCGGAGTGATGAGACGCAATTCCACCTCCGCATGAACAGGACATGAGACACTCTTCTTATCATAGGCCGCCAGGATGCACTCCTCCACCATCCAGCAGTAGTTTGGTGGTCCCGTCGATTCTGCTAACACCAAGGGATGTCCCTCTACTGAGGCCGCTCTCGAGGATCCAGCAGAATCTGGCCCAACGCCAGAATCTCCGTCAGACCAACCCAGAGAATCTTGGGATTTCCTCGCATAGTTTGCACTGTCGAATCCCTGAAGAATGGCCGGCAATTCATTGAGCCCACTTGATTCTCCCACAGTGAAATCCCTCCTTTCCACACTCAATCTCTTAGTCAATCCCTTGTCCGAAAATTTGGCACCCTTGGCTGAGGGATTTGAGCCCGTGAAGGAGTGCGAATTCCTCTCATCACTCCTCTTCAGACACTTTGGACAGGGCACGAGGCGAGTCACGAGAAATCTCCCCTCGGAAGTGTGTACGAAACGTGTCCCAAGAGTTGGATACCAATCCTCCAGGAGGATATCAATGTGATCCACACTGAGGGACACAAGTTGAGACACACACTGAATATTTGCCTCCATCTCCTTCACTGTGGTGCCACAGCCCGCCTCATCGATCCTCCGCAGGCCGATGGCGTGCATGGGGAAGGTGATCTCCAAGATACTTGTGGCATTCATGTCAATGTCGCACCACACACCATCCTGCTTCAGCTTAAAACGATTGCTGGGATTGCGATACGGTGAGAAGGGACAGGATGGCGGAATCTCGCGCATTTTGAAGACCAGCGTTGTGCCGTAGTACAGCGCCAATCCTGTCTGCCACACTGTCCAGTGGGAGGCAATATTCAGCAGTTGACTAACTTCTGGCTCCTCAAAGTCCTCCTTCCGCAGTGGATATATATTCCTCAGGGCGTCCACCACCTGATCATCCGCCAGAACACGCGTGATGAGTCTCGACCAGAAGCCCGATGGGAAGTATGACATCAGCAAGAGGCGAGAGATCACCTTATCTGGACGTGGCAAAGTGCAAATATCATACTCTGGATGATTCACTTGAGGAGTCAAAGCCACAGAATCTGGTGAGGTGAGATCATAAGCTGATGATGAAGGAATTGGAACACTTCTGCGAGATCTCATCGCCCATCCACGACTTCTTGCTGCAATTTTAACCGTCACCACTTGACCACCTCGATTATCCTCATTCTCAGGCAACAATGATGGGATGAGAAGTGTTCTGGAATCCCACGTCAGAGCCACTTCAAACTTATTGAGTAGACTCACGATATATCCTCTGTTATCACTGCTTCCCAGACAAGAGTTCTTAAACAGCAACTGAAGATCGTCCATCCTCATGATTCCTGATCTCGCGAAGGGATTTATCTCTCTCACAGTGACCACGTGAGCCAACATATCGCACAACCACTGCGGATCCAGGAAGTAGAGATCTCTGAGTGTTGCATCATCGTAGTGCAGAAGGCATCCGTTCTCATGCAAAAACATTGTGGCCTGATTGAGTTCTGACCAGTCACGGAATCTCTTGTAGTTCCTCACTTGCATCTCCTGAGTGACCATCGTGCGATAGCGCTCAGCGTCCAGAACAGGATCAGCTCCAAATTGCTTCATAGTCGTAGCAATTGTTCCTACAACATCCTCAAGAGCCAGATAACTCGCTGGCACTTTCTGATGCAGCAACAGCTCCTTAGAGCCCGGCGATCGAAGGGAAAAGGCTGTGTCGTAAATGAGATTCGACAGCAGTTTGATATTGTGCCCCGTGCGACAGCTCACTTCAATTGAGTCCAGAACACGAGGAAGACCCATCTTTTCAGCATCTGCCACTGCGATAAATCTATCTCTGATGATCAGCTGCAGTTCTTCAGCCTTCTTGGCCGGGAAAGTATCTCCCACTGCGTCGTAGTGCGTCCCCACAATCACTACCGGTGAATTTGGAGCTCTGGCTTGAATATTTCCCAGCCACTGAAGCACTTCAGCCAATCCTCGACGCCCATCGGTGATGCGCCAGAGCACCAGGTAAAGACTCCTCTTGCTGAGAAAGTACTGATGTGTGGCATAGTATTCCTTCTGCCCACCAAAATCCCACGTCCTGAAGATCACTGGTCCGTGCTGAGAGTGTCCTCTGACCTTTTTCTCGCACACCCAATCGCCAATATCCACACCAACAGTGGACATGTTAATGCCTCGACTGGTCTTTGTGTTGATATTCTTGTGACCCATCCGCTTGGCCCAGTGATCCACGGGCTTCTTGTTGCGATTGGGTCCCTCTTGGCGAAGCTGCTCCAGCAGACTCGTCTTTCCAATGCCCTGAACTCCCACTACCATCAGCTTCATCCGTGCGTAGTGTCTGGCATCCTCATAAACTGACTTCAAGTATCCAATAATGTCCATTGTCTTGTACTTCTTGCTGTCGATCATCGCTTTCAATGGGTCCTGAAGAGTGCAACCACGCGTATTGAGATTCCACAGTCGCGAGAGGAGTCCCATGTGAGGAGGTAATTCAGTCACATCCACATTCCCACTGATATTCAGGACGCTCAGATTACTCAATTCGTGAATCGTGTGAGGAATATCCTTTAGGCAATTGTTACTGATGTCCAGCATTGACAAATTCGGGAAGATTAGCCGAGATTTTGTCACGCCAACCAGACTCCATTCGGACTCTTCAGACTCTGAGAGTGTAGCGACGTCATCCGTGGACAGTTGGATGCGTGTCAGGAGATTATCAGCCAGGATGAGTGTTCGCAAGCCCTCCAAGCGCAAATGCCTCCGATGACTGCAAACACTCTTCAGCACAGCCGTTCTCAGGGATGTGATATTCCCACTTGAGGTATTTGTCTTGATCACAGACACTTCAGCACTCTGACTGGTGATATTCTTCAGTGGCTGCTTGGACTGCTTCACCTCCTGCGGATTGTAGCACGCCAAGTGTGGATCCAGGGCAGCAATTCTCGGCAAACTCGGCCAACAAGTGATCTCATTGTGTCCCAAATCCAACTGCTTGAGACTTGCTGGATAGCTGGTCACGTGTCCCATTGATCTCAAACTGTTGTACGACATGGAGAGTCGCGTTAGATTGATTGCCAAACATGGGAGAGCCAGAGGGATGCTGGTGAAGAGGTTGTTGGAGAGATTGAGGCTCGTCAACTGGGAAATATTCTCATCATTGCGAATATCCGTGAGGCGAACCTCCTGATCTGTCACTTCCAGGGATTTTGACCAAATGTGATGGCGCACGAGATCGACTTGAGTGATGGTTCTATTGCGACTCTGAGCCTCAGAATCCTCCATTTGGTTGAAGAGAAATGCTTCAGTCACTGGACTTGGCGGTTCTGATTGCGAAGAGCCGCCGTCCTGATTGGGCAGCACGGGAAGATCTTTCAGCAGATTAAACGCGACGTTCAACTCCTTCAGCTTGGGCGCTCGCCACATCTCAAATGGCAACTCCTGCAGTTTATTGTTGGACACATCGAGAGTGATTAGACTCTGCATTCGAAAGAGTGCTGGAGGAAGCACTTCCAGGCGATTGTCCTGCAAATATAGCTCCTCAAGAACAAAGCATTCATACTCTTTGGGAAATTGTCTGGAGTTGCGTCTGCTGCCGGCCAAAACTCTCACTGGAGAGTTAGGAATATCCTCAGGCAGTGGCAGAAATTGGATCTTGTTCTGCGCCGCATTCAAATAGCGCAGGCTGCACAGAGTGAAAATCTCCGGCGGGAGGCTCGTGAGTCCATTATGAGAGATGTCAATGCGAGTGAGCGCTCCCAAAGCCAGAATGCCACACTTTGGATGTTCCTTGAGTTTTGTGTTGTGCAGCAGAACTGCCTCGCTGAGGAAGTTTATCTTGAGATTTGTCAAATCACAGTTGTTCCAATTGATCATGATGGAGGTGTTGGGGAACAAGGAACTGTAAGTGAGTCCTCCATCAGGAGAAAGTTTGTTTCCCGCCAATTCCACCTCAGTCGTCAAGGCTTTCTTGTTGATCTTGTACTCGGGATCTGGATGAGCTCGAATCGAGAGGAGTTTGCAGATGATTTGTTCATTGCCTTGGGTGCAGGCGATACTAAGAGCTGTTGATTGTTCATCTTTGGCACCGTACTTCAGCAGGAGTTCCACCATTTGAATTGACTTTTGGCGCACCGCCTCGGCCAGGGGAATGTTCGAGAAGCCGTACACCTCATCCGACAGTCTGGGATCATTGGGATCCTCTATTGGTTTTGCCATCACATTGGGATCAGCCTTCTTCTGCAGCAACAACGCCGCCACATCCAAATATCCACCTCGCACAGCGGCTAGCAGTGCCGTTTCTCTCGCCGCTCCACACAGCAAGTCCAGCTGCAAGGGATTCACTGAGTTGTTGGACTCACTCTCTGCCTCTTCAGCGGCATCCTTGCCCAGACTCAGTCTCGACATGATGGACTGTATCCCATAGGAAATACGCCTCTTCGTGGGACTAGACGTGGTGACCCTGCTGCTCACTGAGCGCGACTGCCCATCGTCTCCTTCGCGCATCTTGACACACTTCACTTTCCAGCCCAGCAGCAAGTCAACCAGAGGCTTGTTGCCGAGCAGACACGCAACATAGAGGGCCGTCTGTCCGGTGACGTCTTGCGTGTTCGGATCGAAGGCCAGCCGCCACTCCGTTTCACCCGTTGGATCGCGATATGTGGCATAGAGATGATCGGGATACGTATAGTTGAGCAGGAGTTCCACCACATCGATGTGTCCATTGATGCAGGCCGCGTGCAGCGGCAGCCACTTTTCCACAGTCAATTGCTGCCAAGATATTCACGAGTGAAATTTCAGTGTAAAGCATCACGAGACTCTCCACTCACCTGAACCAATTCGGGAAATTTCGCCAGCAACATCTTCGTCACCTCCACATTGCCATTGTGAACGGCTGTGTAGAGCGGAGAGTATCTGGTAACGGCATGAGCTCTGCCATCGGCTCCTGCCTCGAGTAGCATCTTCAGAATAGGTTCATTGCCCACCTGAGCAGCAGAGAAGATGAGAGTATTCGCTCCTCCAGGAGCCATGTTGATAATCACTTCGCGCTCATTTCCAGTCCCAAGAGCCTCGAGGATTATTCGTACTTCATGCTCATCATTTGACACAACAGCTTCTCGCAGTTCTCTGTACTTGAGCGATCTTATCTCCTCGAAAGCGTCTGCAGGGACAGAAGAGAAAGACATTGTCAGTCACGTGCGATAAATCCCACACGCGTGATTACTTTACAGCACTTTAAAAATAGCTCCAAGCAATAAAGAACCAATCGATAGGATGTACACCTCGTTTGCCCCATCAAAGAATAGGGTATTGTTCTATTTATTAATCAAGGACTTGAATGAAAAGGATTCCCACACGTGATAATTTAATTACGAATTGTATTAAAGCGCTAAAGAGACCTTTAGTCTTCTGCAAATTAAATCAATTGCACGAATTGTGGCTCTAAATAAGGCGAGGCAATTTGCATTTGTGAGAAAGGTCTTTGCACTGCTCTTCCATAATTTATACAAACATTTACTTTATGACAATAAACCCACGAAGAATATTCATACAAGAAGTTTTGAATAGCTATAAATATTTACTGTTTTACACTCGTGAAAAATCCCATTTAATATTAGATAAACAATTAAATAACAACAACATTTAATTATATCTTTCGTTACCATTGCAGAAATTTCTCATAAACACAAGACGAGTTTAATAAATTCCTACAAATTCATTGTCAATTAATAAAATCTCTTCAGTTTGGTAAGAAAACGGAAAATTTTCCCAAAACACCGAACAATTTCATAAATTTACGGCCACTTTGCACTCGAGTGGCTTTTTCTCATTGAATAATCAACAGTGGAATCAACCTGGGGCTCTCCAGAAGTCCAAGACTTCGTCGACAAAGTAGTCGCAGGCATCGAGGGCAGTCTCTGCCCCCGTCCGAGGTTGTTCTTGACGGAAATTCCAGGCCATTTCCGCCGCACTGCCACAATTGTTCTCCTCACTGTCTCTAGTCTTAAATGCTATTTTCCGCTATTAAAAGCGCACTACCGACACTCTAATCTGGGCGTTACAAAAAGGGGTCTCTTGTGATTTCACAGCACTTGTGGCGGAGACTATCACATATCGATTGCCTTTCGATACTCTGTCTGGGCAGCTCTGGGGTGTCTTCAAGTGCACTTCGGCGAAGAGATTGATGAAGCCATGCAAGAATCACGTTGTTCAGTCCGACGGATTCACCGCAATCCCCACTTCAGCAGGTGTGATATTTTTCTTCCAATTTCGCGCCGGGTTTTGATTTCTTTCGCGCTCTCTCTCCCTCTCTGTACTTTTGTGGTTTATTAATGACGTGAATTTCACCCTCTCCACAATGTCTTCAATTGTTATTGTATGCACAAAAGTGTTGAATGATGTCTGCAAAATCGCGGTAGAAAAGAAAGTGTTTGCAACACCGTCTTGATTGTGTTGATACACTTGAACGAAAGGTGGGAATTTTTTCACTGATACTTCTTCCCCTTACCGTGCATTTTCCAGCAGAAATGGAAAATGCGGAAGAGTTTTAACCGATTTATCAATTTTTTTTCACAGAAAATAGTGCATATTTATCGGAGAATTGGTGCTGAAAAGGCCTCCAATAAGGGAGAATGCAGAGAAATGACTGGTGAAAAGTCACTTCCCGGCCCACGTCGCGACGTCTTCGTCAAGGCAACGGGGCTGGGGAGAAAATCAATACCGACCACGCGCTCTGCACGAAAGGCTCGCTAAGCCCTGTTAAGCTTGAAACACCCGTGATTCACTGCCAATTAGCTCAGGAGAATTGATTGAAATTCCAGCTCATGTTTAAGAGAAAAATCATGTCTAGAAAACGGTGTTTACGGTTCTTTAAAATGTAAATAGATTGAGATTTACACCCACTCTGAACTCTGAATGACATAAGCGGTAAAGTGAAGCATTCTAAAGGATTTCAGTAGCTGTGCCTCCTTGGGGAGTCGAGGAAGCACACCTGGCGAGTGGGAGTTCTTAAGGACGTGACACATTAACCTACCAGCTGCATTCTTGAGCATCTCCATGCATCGGACATGACCGAATTTCTCCGCCAGGTCAAACGCTGTCGCCCCCGCGGTTTCTCTGCGCGAGTAGGAGGCTCCGGCAGCCAGCAAGACATCCACATTCTGCTCATGACCGTGTTCGGCGCTCAAATGAAGGGCAGTCTGTAGGAGATACAACGCATTTAGCAGAGAACACTTTCCTCCGGCAGCCTCCTCACCTTCCCGTCCATCGCCTGAGCATCCACATCCGCCCTGGCATTGATAAGGAGCTGCAGGCAGTTGGAATTCGCAGTGATTGCGGCTGCATGGATGGGAGTTCGCCCGAAATTGTCTCTACACTCAATTAGATGTTGCTCCTCTTGCAACAGATCCACGAGTAGTTCAACATTGTCCCACAATGCAGCCTGGTCAGTGTTGAGAGAGAAAACCACGGTATTTTGTGGGTGAATTACACAAGAAAACAACCTTTTCGCATGACTTCCATGGCTAATTCCACAGCCGAGTAACCACTCACCTGATGCAGGAGTCTCCCCGGGAAATCTTCAGCTTCTGGACTCAGAGACATCTTGCACACTGTCTGTATCACTTCAACACAATCTGGAGCACGTCTTTGGACATTTTATCACACAATTTCCATAAAAATTCACACAGAAAACCACTGGCAAAAAGCGCACTGCTTAAAGTCGCACCTTTTGTTTTTCACTGACAATTCCAGCGAACCGCGGAGTGGGGGTATTTTGACGTCTCGGCTGACAGGTGCAAAAGCGGGGGAAAACTCACAGCATGTGCAAAAATCACATGTGGTTTATTTCAGAAATAATATTTTACTAAATTGTCATGAATCCAATCGGAAAATACAGATACATTTGTGAATATTCGGGGTTCGTTGCACTTGAAGCCCCACGAGGCGACGCCCGCCAGCACAGGAATACTTCCTTGTTGATTGCACACTAGAAGATTTCCTCCTTGAGCCTTGCACGTGCCCGGGAGATCAGGAACGGCACAGAGAAAACTCGCGTGGAGTTGGAATCTCTTGCCCATGTGTCCTTCCCTCAGTATCGCCTCACACAGGAAAGGAGGCATCACATTGAGTGGCACTGGCTTATCGTTCTCCAGCTCAATGGCGAAACACGAGGCATCCTCATCGGTGAAGTCCTGTCCATCAGCCAGTTTAATCACCTTGGATCCCTGAGGCTCTGGCAGAGGTCTCACCCACTTTATCAGCGCTAAATCGTTGAATCTTCCTCCGGAATAGTATCCAGTGTGCTTGATGACTTCACTCAGCATTCGCTCTTGTCCCTCGATAGTTCTGACCGAATAAGCGCTGGGGTGTTTACTTCTAGGTCAAAGGAAAGGCGTTAGAGATATCGCAAAGGTGGAAATATTCTGGGAAACGTACTCAGAAACACAATGAGCAGCAGTAACTGCTGCTGTTGAAGTCAGAAGAGCTGCTCCACAAGTGTTGGGAAACTTGTCCATTGAGAGCCCCAGAAGCCAAGGGAAGTCCTTGATGGTGAAAGGTCCTCGTCCTTCGAGCGTGTTCTCCGTGAAGGTGATGCTGGCTGAGCAATTGGCGGGAATGGGCAGCCTCATGATATGGCAGCATATATCGGAAGAGCGCGCGCAAATCTCCCTGGAAAATCACAGCATTCCATGAGAAGCTGATCAACGGATCCGTGAAAACCCTTCAAATGTTAGTGTCACGGCGAGTGTGAGAAAAACACACCGAAAATATACCAATTTACCCTATTTATAGTGAAAATTCCATGAATTTATCCGGATTAGCGTAATAGGATGGTGAGTTAATGATCAAAGAATCAATAGAGTGTGAAATCACGTGAAAAATATTTGTATTCTTTGCGATATGCTGGCTAGAAATGATTTTGGGGTTATGTGATCGCCCATGAGTGGCCTCCAAGGCTCTCCAAAATTACTCATTACTCTTGTACATTGCAGCAGACCATTGCGAGAATGTCGACGATACGCTCTACACTCCGACTGCAAAAACATTTGCTGAGTAAATTGCCCACCAATGCCGCGGTGTCTTCAGAAGTGAGTGACGTAATCGCCTTAACTCTGTCCGGGAATGATAAATATTTGGGTTTGCTTTGGCTTTTTCTAGAGATACTACTCTCAGCAGCGACCCGGATTCTTCTCCCAGTTCATTGAGAACATCAAGCAGGAGATGGAGAAGAATAAGGAGATGAAGGAGAGCTTGAAGAAATTCCGACAGGAGGCTGAGAAACTGGAACAGTCGGATGCTCTCAAGTCTGCGCGGCAGAAGTTCAATGCCGTGGAATCGGAGGCCTCCAAGGGATCGGAGGTGCTGAAGGAGAGACTGGAGGGGTTCAAGGATAGAATGCAAGACGTCCTGGATGAGGCCTCCAAGTCGGACATTGGGAAGAAAGCCAGTCAGTTTGGCGAGGAGCTGTCGAAGTCAGCGAGAGGAGTTTCCGATTCCATAGCGGAGAAGAGTCAGCAAATTGGCAAGAGCGGTGCCTTCCAGAGCATCTCCCATGCCACGGAGGCGGTGAAGAAGGAGATAGGATCACAGACAATGGCGGGACGGGTTTACCGAAGCCCGGCGAAGCTGCGGAAACGCGTGGAAGTGGCAGCTGCCAGCACAGAGAGAGTGTTCGAGGCGAATGACGATGCGCGAGGGATTGAATTGCACAAGGACAGCAAATTCTACCAATCGTGGGAGGATTTCAAGAATAACAATGCATATGTGAACAAAGTCCTCGATTGGAAGATGAAATACGAGGAGTCGGAGAATCCAGTGATTCGAGCATCACGCCTGCTGACCGACAAAGTGTCGGACGTGATGGGGAATCTCTTCTCGAAGACAGAACTGTCGGAGACGCTGACGGAGATCTGCAAGATTGACCCCAATTTTGAGCAGAAGCAATTCCTGCGCGACTGCGAGACGGACATCATCCCCAACATTCTGGAGGCGATGGTGCGCGGCAACCTGGACATCCTCAAGGATTGGTGCTTCGAGAGCACGTTCAATGTGATAGCGACGCCGATTAGTCAGGCCCAGAAGGCGGGCTACTATCTGGACTCGAAGATCCTGGACATCGAGAACATCGATCTGGCGATGGGGAAGGTGATGGAACAGGGCCCGGTGCTCATCATTACGTTCCAGTCGCAGCAGATCATGTGCGTGAGAGATTCCAAAGGCAGCGCGGTGGAGGGTGATCCCGAGAAGGTGATGAGGGTGAACTACGTGTGGGTGCTGTGTCGAGATCCCAGCGAATTGAATCCCAAGTCGGCGTGGCGGCTCATGGATCTCTCGGCCAACAGCACAGAGCAGTTCGTCTGAGAGCCATCGACTCCGCGTCAGCCAGAGGAATACCGTGGCGGTCACAAGACGTGCAACTGTCCAGCAAAGTGTTCTTCAAATGTGAGTAAAATCAGCAAAAATCCATGTGCGTAGATTCATTCAGAGCAACATTAGCATGATATATGAAAAGCAACTATTCGAGTTCATAGTGGAAATTCCAAGAACGACGGCAGTTCCACTCTTTCCCCCCCTTTGGCTAATTAACTCTGTTTTTTTCACGTTTCTTACAGGTGTTGCATCTTTTGTCACCGCCACTGTATGTTAGAATAGTGAAAAAAAATCTGCCACACACTTTGAGAGAATGAGAGATTTGTTGGACTTTTGTTAGGGAGATTGTATAAATTGTCACTGTTATTGTATGATGATGGAAGGGCAAAAAATCCAACTGATCAACTCACTTTTTCTCATCACTGAACACGATATCGCGTGGTGGATCGTCGCACTGGCACTTGGGGACGCAAGAACAGTCTCCGGCGACGTTTTCGGTCACATCCTGAATCCTCACATGGTCACCGATGCGCTTTCCTGCGCGTCTCTCCTCGGCGGCGCTGATCAATTGTGAATTGAGCCACCAGAAGTCGCCGGAAGCTTGGGCGACAGCAAGAGATGTCTGAGTGGCGATGGCCAGGAGAATGAACCACGGTGTGATCATGATGTGTGAACGACTCTAGCGTCAGGCAGCGACTGATCTCTCTTCAATCACGCGCGAACAACTTAAATCCCACAACGTTTCGTCACTGCAGTGCGTCCTTGGCGCTCTTTTCTGCGCATAGTGTCTTGAACTTGTGCGGTTTTCGGTGCGAGCTTCTATGCGCTGCCGGAATTATCAAGAGGCAGAATGCAAAGAGAGAGAGAAATGTGGGTCAGTGCGATGTTTATTAAATATTCCGATAAAGTCAACCCTTGAGATGATCGTGCAGTGATTCATGGAATTGGAAGTCAGAAGTTGAGAAATTCCCCAATGCAAAAAGTGATTTAGCATCTCCGGCAGCATTTATGGTGAGTTCTTCACTCTTTCCGCTCAAAAGTGCCTTTTGGTTTTGGAGAGTTATTTTGTGGTAAAAGAATCTTACATTGATTTGTTACGCGGAATTCGCGTCACTTTCGTCATGTTGCGTTACATCGCGCTGCTTTATTGTGAGTCATTTGGACAAATTTATGCCCTCAAACACTCAATTACCTTTTCAAAATTACCTCTGTGTCTCTTTGGAGTCAACAATGATCGTGTAATGAGTATTTTTTTGTTATGCTCAATTGAGAAGTCTTTTTTTTCTTAAGAACATCAGCATCAGTGATCATAATCGGTTTGGAGATGATATTCTGTAAATTGCTGTATTTTGTGTATATTCTGCTAAGCACCAGAAAATAGATTCTCTGTTTGCAGAATAATTTACACTTATTCGTCTTGAGATTCTCGAGTCAATATTTAGTCACACTTCGCATTGCTTTGTTTGGTGGGGGGTTTTCCTCTAACCGGAGAACATTATGTTAGGGAATTCCTGAATTTCAAATGTACTCGCAACACTCGAAATGACCGGATTATGGAAGGTCTTTGATTTCGCCAAAGATTCAGCTGAAATTATTATTATGCGGTGAAGAGTGACAAGATAATAATCAAGAGGGGAATTCTGTGGCAACTTTGTCTCCTGAAAAAGAATAGTTGGGAAGAGTGAGCTTTATATTCTCTGGAATATCATTTTTATTCTCTTTTTGTAATCATTTCTACAATTAATTGCTGTCTTTTCGCTTACAATTCAAATAATAATTCCAGAATTATTCAAAAGAATACTCAATCATGATGGAAAATCATGAAGATCGACGTCTCGAGAGACGTTGATTGACCTCGTGAGAAAGAAGGTGAAAAGCTTCTTCGGAGGTTGTGATTCTTAACTTAGTACGAATGGCCATATGGGCAAAAATGCCCGTAAAACATTAAAAGTAAAAAAAACTTAGTACGTTATCCCAATTGCCTTTTATTTGCGTTGATGTTGTTAAAGTTAACGACACGAATTACGTGCTATTTTTAAACACAATTTTAGAGAAAAAATGGTTAAAATAGACATTTTAAGGATTAATTAGTTCTTTTCCAATTTCTCGTAAACACGATTTTTCCCAAAATTGTGTTAGATTAAGGAAATTGCAATCAATTAGTATTGATAAGTGTCGATAACTTCTGTCACTTCAACGCAAATACAAGCAAGTGGGATAATTCTCTTACATCTAGAGTGGATGAAATATAATTGAGGGAGACAAACTTTGTGCCCTCTTTTTCATTAGATTATTCTCATAAAGATAGCATTCAAAATTGATAAGAATGCAATGCTATATTGCTCAATGAACTTGCTGAAATTACAAAGGACATAGTAATTTTGTAATTTTAAATAATAGTTGTGATTTAGCAATGATAATCTTAACAGTTATAGAAAATGTGGAAAATTTGGCATCACTTGAACGTGATCTGCCTGAGAAGCTCTTCAATTATACCTCCAGTCATTGGCCTTCGTGTTGGGCGCAAAAGGCCAGCGGCGGTGTTCCCAGGAGGGCCATCGGCGGAAGGCCCAGTCGTCGCAGTCGTCCCAGGGCTCGCGTGGAACGCGCGGAGGCTCAGGCGGTGTCAATAGGGCATCAAATGGTCGATAGAATCCCAGAATGTTGAATACGTCCATCGTTTTGGCCATGAACAGATCGCGTCTCTGCTCCTCCTCGATCTCTTGCACGGTGCGCATGTTGTACAGCGGGCAGTGCTCCAGGACGTGGGCATTGTCTTCGGTGGAGCCGCACTTGGGGCACACGACGGCCCTGAGGAAGGGGCAAATGATGGGGCCTCTGCCGTTGCGAACGTTGTGACTGCGCACCTCCTCGATTCTCATGCCGATTTGGTAGCAGTGGATGCAGAACTTGCGCCTGTTGGCGAGGTCACTCGGTGTCTGCGACGCCGAACGGTAATCCTGGGGGCCGCGAGGGCGCCGAATAGGGCCCAAATGGGGGCGCGGCGGCGAATCGCAGGGACCCATGTCCGTGCCATTGAAGCGAAAGTCGTCCGGCTCCGGCGGTGGCGGAGAAGGCGGCAAAGCCATCTGATACACTGGCTCACCACTTGCAGATTCACTATCACTTGATCCATCTTCCTTGCCAAATAAAGACTTCTGAGACGATGGGCGACACATATCATGAGAGACTGACGTGCACAGTCCTTCGGCAGTGGTTTTTATAGTCTCAGCCAAACGGTTGCTCGAGTCCTTTCTGGGTCTCTGACTAGAACTTAATTGATTCGAACTAAACGATGGATTAGGCAAGTCCCGGTTTAAATGATAGTTTACCAGGAAAATTGCAAGTATGGGTTCTTCAGCTAATTAAAATGTAGTTTTAAGCAACAATTCGGGGTGAAAAATTTGCCATTTTTACGAAAACCGTCTGTGATTTTGATTTCCAATCTATTTCGTGTTATTTTGTAGTCATGAGAAGGCTAAGGACTTTTTTTTCTTCAGAACTCCAATTTATCTTTATATTCCTAGACTTGGCCGTGATTAACGGTTTTATTCAATTCTGCTTGTGAAAGTTTAATTATAATTGAAGAAGCAGCGAGTTTATTGCCTCGTATAAATTAAAATAGCGAATTAAAATGTGTCTCTGAAAATGGTAAAGTTGCTTTGGAAAGTTTTATAAATTGAAGGAATCGTTTTTGCAGTTTAAGCGCGGTCGAAATTTAAAAGATTCCAAAGTCTGCATCGCAATGTGAACTCAATTTTCTTCTTACTGATTTTCTTGACGTCACTTACTAAGTTTCAATGTGATATGCTGAAAATGTATCCGCACGCCTTTATCTCCACATTTTCCCCTTTCCACTCGCCGCTTTTCATCCAGAGAGAGAGTAAAAGATATAATACATGAATCAATCCTCCCCATCATTGGCTAGAGAATAGAAATTTGAATTATTTCCCTGAAGCTTTTCAATTCAGCCTCGAGGGACGTTGAAGAAAGTGAAAAAGAAAATTCCACCCCGAAAATCGATTTCAATTTCCTACACAAGACGAATTCCGCAAATTGCAGAGATTTGTGGGCAGAGAAAGCCAAGAAGAGAACAATGTCAAAAATTCACTAATATTGATGAAATTTTATTAATTATTTTAAATATTTATATATACATTTTTTTTCGCTATGCTGCATCTCTTATCTTTTCTTCTTCCTTTGCATAATGCTTTCATGTGATTTTATGTTCTTCACCTCTTTTGCTCCTTGTTGATCTCTGTAGTCGAGTGAAAGCTTTTAATGTGTGTTTTTCTTCTTCTTTTCTCCTTACTCTTCTTACGTTCTTATTTTGTACAAAAACTGAAGGAAAGTAAAATGATAAATGTTATGTCTTGCAAGATTTTAGCGATTGGTATGTCTTTCACTACTCATCAAATCTCCTATTTTTCTTGTAGTTCATTTAAATTCTATACTTTATTATTTCTTCTCTAACTTTTGTTTTATCTATTCAATTATAGCGTATCGTATATTTATTAATACATAATTATTTCAATATTACTTTTGCAATTTTCTTTACTTCTTTACGTTAGAGTGTCTTTTTTGCCGTGAAACAATATATATTTTTTTGATTGTTGTGTTTTGGTAAAATCCGAAGTCATTTTCAACAGAAATCTTTTGTCATTGCTCATATATTTTTATTTTTTACAAAATTCATTTTGCCGAAAAGTTGGTTTTCTTTTCTACTGTCTATACAGAAGATGCGATAGGAATTTTTTTCTCTCAATCACTCACTCTCTTTCTCTTTCTAAGTTGTGTATAGTCTCGTAAGTTATTATTTAGATTTTCTTCATTAACTACTATTTCAATAAATTTTATTCCTCCTTTTCATCATATCCTAAAATCTATCAATTATTATTCTTTTTTTCTTTTATTTCAATATTCTTCCTCCTCTCTTCATTGTTGGATTAATCAGAAAAATCTCTAAAAAGAATCTTCAGCATCAATTGGCTCAGAAATTTTCGAAAAATCTTATCTCAAAAAGGCTTTGAGAAAAAAAATTATTTACATCACTTTTTCCCATTAAAATGGAGAATTTTCTCTGTGTAATAAATTCTCCTTCAGAAAACTCGTGAGAATTGTCTTTTTTTTCATTTTTCATAAAATTTTTTTCTCGATAGAGACGAAGAAAGAATCTTTTACGACTATTAGTAAATTCTAAAATTCAATTCAAAATTAACTTTATATAATGTTTAATCACTAAAATTTATTTGCTCTTAATCCTCTTATTCTTCTCTCTATACAAATTTGTTGCAACCAAAGTCAATTGCTTTGACTTTCTCTGTGCAATTTATATTTCACTGATTTCAATCGCATTCGACTCAATTCACTTTGTCAAGAAATTCTATGGCAATCACTTTGTCTATTTACAAAATTTCTAGAATAATTTCCTTCTTACAAGTTTTACTGTATCATTTGATTGATTTTCTTTTCAATTTCCATCCTGTGAAATGCAACTTAATGGAAAAAAAATCCCCATTTCTTTCTTATACAATTGAATTGGTAGAGGAACAACACAAGAGGAAGGTAAATGATAAATTCTTAAAATGCCTACGGAATTCAATTCATATGATATAAAATGAAGTTTGTACTTCTCATTTGCATCAAAGAAAGCATAAAATAAAATTAAATTCTTACAAATTACATCAAAAAAAAGAGCTCAACACGAGAGAAGTAAATAACACGGAAAAAATCTAATTTAGGTAGAAGGAAAATTTAAACGAAACATCGCTCTTTAATTCTTTCACTCTCTCTCTCTGTCTGTGCGAAAGAACAATTGTATTCCTCGGTTTGTCCTCGCTGGCTGGACTCTCTCTCTCGCCTGGCAGATTTATTTGACGGCCGAATACGTCTGTGGCTGCTGTGCATTGGTTTGCACCCAATTTCCAAACACATCCCTGCATTTCGGAATAAACACCAATAATATAAGAAGTCCGTGCGAACATTGAATAGCCAAATGAACTCACCTGCAATGTGTTATGACGCACTCATTGCTGCAATATTCATCCTCCCAGTCTTGATTAACAATAGCCTGATTGGTGCATCCGTGTCTGCAAGAGATCAGAGAGAGAGAGAGAGAAAGAGAATTAAGTCAATTTCGATACTTTAGCATCTCATCAATTAATCATTTGTGAGTTTATTCAGTCAAGATTCATGATACGTGCCATCGAAAGCACTCTATTTCTCTCCCATTCATAACACACTCTTCCACGCCTTTCATGGGCTCCCCCTTGAAAGCATCTCCTCTAAGTTATCTTGTTTGATAAATACATGTTCCTTTGCCTCCCCAAATGAAAAGGAAAACCCACCAGAGCGCCGCAGTCTCTCAAGGCAGAGGGCCGAGCTGCAAAGGGGTTTGTTTAGGGCGAACACGCCAAGGAGAGGAGGAGGAGGAGGAGAAAAAGGGGTGTGAGGAGAGAGAAAATTGAATTTTCCTTCATCATAAATTTCTCACAATTCAATTTTATTTTCAGCAAAAGAAGAGAGAAAAATTGAAAAAGACTCAGATGACTTTTTTCCTGGGCGTTTGCCCTCATCCTTTATTCTCCTTCTTCTCCACATTTTGCCCCCTCCTCAGTCAAGAGAGAAAACTATACACACACATTTTGGCAAAGGATGAGAGACAAAAAGGAGCAATGAAACTTTGACTTTCAATTAAATTTAATAAGTAATTGATACCAAATGGAGAGAGAAAAGGGCAAAATTGGGATAAGTTTCTCGTTTGTAATGGATACTTTGTGAGACTATTTTTATAAAGAGAAGGCTTTTTGCAAAAAAGAATCGCAAAACTGCTGCAAACAAGCATCACAGTTCAAAATCGTCTTTTTAGGACTGTATTTAAGCAACGAGAGAAGATTTACTGTCATGTTCTATCACTTCAAAGCACTGTTTCTGGTTTTTGATTTTCAATGAATTTTCCAAAAAGATGGAACGTTGGAGGGAAATTCTATTCGGCCTTTTGAATTGTCTTAATATCTGTGCTAATGCAGCCTTAAGAAACCTTTGATTGTTCGGTGGTTTAATTCTTCGATTTTTCATGGCCTGGATAAGAAACGCTACCCCGAATTTACCCATTCCACTCTGCCCCGCACTCCCCTATCTCTTTAGGACTGTCTTCTAAGGGTTTTCCCAGCGATTGCGGAAGCGAAAGTCACTCACCGAATGCACTGATTTGGGTGGTGTTCATTTGACGGCGGCGTCCCGGACACCGGTGACATGGTGTGCGGACTGATCTGGCCGCCACCGCCGCCCCCCGGAGGCCCCACCATTTGATGGCCGTGCGGTGGCTGTTGCGCCGGATGCATCTGAAAGTGAAAATGCGTGAAAAATCCACTCATTCAGGCGCGCGAAAAACACCACCGCCGCCCCGCGACACCCGAAAAACTGGCGTGAGTGCGTAAAATGTGGTGCAAAATATCGCGTGTGTGAGCCGGTGGGGGAATTGTATCGAAAACGGCGTATAATATCCCATTGAAGCCTCTCTCCCGCCAATGCATAAATGCACATCACAATTGACTCCGCGCATCGACAGTCCCCATGTTCACCCCCTGGGCGACCACTGTGTATTGGCTTAATTCCTCCGCCCACAAATTTGATTTGAGGTCGCTCACACGCTCTCCACTGTGACAATTTTGTGTCACATTGATAGAATTGAGAGGGAAATTTTGCATATATTCAATAGGCTTCACTCGTCACCAATTTTCAGGGACAACAATCATCGCAAGAGAGATCGATGGGCATCAATTGGTTGCAATGGAATTGGCCCATTTTGGCGGGCGCGCTGTCGAAAATACGTTTTGTGTATTGTGGCGGTTGAGAAATTGGGGACAGCCTTCTGGGAAAATTAATCAGAGATAGACATTCAGGGTCTGTCATTAAGTTATGCTCTCTCAAGGGCACAGAAAAGATCCTGAAGACCTTTTGAGCTGTATATTGAAGAGAATGTGATGGGTTTTAATGGTAGTTTGACTGTAGTTTGACTATTCCAGTTAATTGCCGAAAATAATCCTCTCTGGCCCACATGAGAGAATAATAATGTAACTCATATATTTATCACGCAAAAAAACATGTACATCGAAACCAGAGTGCAAATCAATATTAATTGGATAGAAATATCAAGAAGATTTGATCATATTGATTGACATTGATAGGTCATTATTATTTTAATCAAAGTACAGATAATTGTCAGGCATAATTTGGGGCAAAAGTGGTCGAATTAGTAAATTTTGCATAATCAATCACTACAAATTGCGCTTGTCAGAAGTTTTCACAGAAACCCCTTAATAAAATTGAATTGCAATTTAACAAAATTTTCATCTTAATTAATCTGAGAACGTCAAATGAGAGGCTAAAGAAATGCATAAATAATTTCATGAAGCAATTAAACTTTCTCAAACTCACAAACACTTGAAGAAAGTTAAACTTGGCAAGAGTGAACCAATATAATCGTGTACTAATGATTAGCCTTCTCAATATATCAAAAATTGAAAGAAGGCATTTTCTTCAAGCGATTTATATCACAAATAATCAGTCAATGTTTTGTAAATTGCAAATTAGTATTATATTGCCAGCATTTTGGCAAATTACCGGAGAATGCAGCGTTTCTTCCTCCTCTTTTGCTGTGTTCACAATTTACATCGCGAACAATAGCGGGAATTGCAATTTTAATCACTCTTCTCCAATTTCATTCCTCTTTTTTTCTATACTTATTCTCTGAGGAAAATTTTGTTACCGCTATCCGGAAGTATTTTCCATTTTGAAAGAATTTCCTCAAGCAATTCAATAGAGTGGGAAAAATGGTGCTTAAGAATTTGCATGCGGCGTCAGGGGAGGAATTTTCTCACGAGGCGCATTTGTGTTGAAAACAATTTCTTCAGCGTGTCGTGATGGAGAGCAATTGCCAAAAAAAGGAGCCGAGAATGGAGGTCAAGTGTAAAAGTGCATCCGGGAGAAATTGCCGTCCGAGAGGCGAGAGAACATGTGTACTGTGGGGGGATGCATTCATAATAATAATATCATTTCCCGTGCACTCGCCCACGCGCGGCTCCTGAGGCGCCGTGCCAAGTGAGAACAGGGTGTCACCGGAGGGTTCTGGTGCCAAGTCATGTGTCACTCACGCCCCACCCACACCCCAAACACGCGCCTTTGACACCTTACCTGTTGATTCATGTACTGGGGCATGCCACCCATCCCCATCATCGCCCCGTTCATGGCGGGGTGATTCATGGGATTCACATGGGTCGCCTGCTGCTGCGGCGGCGGATTCATTTGTCCCATCATCGAGCCCATCGAATTCATTTGATTCATCATCGATTGCTGCTGCTGATGCGGCAGATGTGGATTGTGATGTTGCATTTGCAAACTCTGCTGCATCATGACCTTTGATGAGTAGCCAATGTGTCCGGCGATGCACGTGAAAAAGAAACAAGAGCACACACACACGAGGCAATTAGTTAAAATTCACCAAATGTACAATATTTCAGGAGAACTGGCGAAACTATGAAAGCCAGGCATGCGGAGAGCCACCTTATATAGGCATTTTCCCTGGGGAAATGCCAAAGTTTACTCTGCATTTTAAGACATTACAGGTAGATGGAATTTCTCTCCTCAACTAGACATTAATTGCGTTATAAATGCCGTGAAAGTAAGTTAATTTAATCCCTTTTCCTACTCTACTTCTGAAATGATTCAGCAATTCCCTCGGGATCTTCTCGAAAAAGCTCACGAACTCAAATACTACATTTGCCAGAGATAGATCAGAGATCATCAGAAGAATTTCTGAGAGCACAGAATGGTAAACTCAGTGTTGAGGGGGTAATAAAGAGAAGATGAGTGAACTTTTAAAGTGTCAGAAGTTTGGCCAAGTATTCTCACAGGACACTTTTGGGTTCTTTATAAATCAGACTGCGGGGCAAGAGACACTCGGGGTGCTCCGGAGTTCGGCTCACCTGTTGATGCTGGGGCGGCGACTTGTAGGGAGACGAATAGGGTGGATAGTGCGGAGATGGGGCCTGATTCGCCGGCGGTGGCTGCTGCGGCTGGGACTGCTGCTGCGGCGGCGGCTGTGGCTGCTGCGGACGAGGCAAATGTGGACTCGTTTGGGGCGCCATAGACGGTGGTCCAGCACCCATGAGGGCGCCACCCTGCTGCTGATGCTGCGGTGATTGCTGAGTCACCACACCGCCTCCAGGGCCCTGCTGCCCCTGCTGGTGCGGCGGCGACGAATACTGGCCCTGCTCCGAGTCACTTCCCTGTGGCAATGAGGTGTTCCGCAGAAAATTAGAATAATTCTCACAGGATCACCCGGATGGGCACGAGAGGAAGTGAATTCTATGGCAAAGTACACTAACCTTTGACACTAAACTTGCTCGATATGCAGCCAAAGCCTTCAGATACTCCTTCTTTGCCGCCTCGGTTTTCTTCTTGTACACCTGCAAATGAGAGATGAAATAATGCTCAAACATATAAATAGAATTTAAATGGGTGAAGTAATTTAATTATAGCATTGTGTGGTTTTTTTTTACATATATTTTTAATTTCACTCTCGTGAAATTTCGCGCATATTTTCACAATGAAGGACATTTTCTCACTCTCTCTATTGTTGCTTTGAGAGTCCTTCAACCGCACTCATTGGGGGTTTTTCCAGTACTCTTAATAATTCAGCCTTTAAATACATTTAACCAGTGTAGATTTTTTTCCCTCTTCAAAGTGCTAAAGAATAACAAGTGGAAAAAAGAATTGCGAGGAAGTGAAAAAGGCAAAAAAAGCCACAAAATTCACACACAATTTCTGGACTGTCTCTCTGTCTCTCTCCTCCATACTTCTTTGTTCACCAGAGCTTAAAACATTTTGGTCGTTTTGTGTGTTTTTGAGTCAACAATCTCATAAATAATTTATATTTGCGACATGTAAAATTGTATTTAAAGAGTACACCATACATATGAACGCGAAAAAAGTAGGAAAAAAAGGGAAAGAGAGAGGAAGAGAAGAAAAATTCACAGTTTATGTCTCTAATGTGTGAACATTTTGTAAATTTATTCCCATGTGCCATTAAAGATGGGAATAGAATGCTGAAAAAGTGACTCTTTATGGGAAAAACTATGATAGTGTTAAAGTATTCCACGAGTTTTCAAAAAATTTCCTTATCTCTTCCATCACGCTGCCAATATTCTCATATTCACGATCTGATCCATGCTATCAATTGTTAATATTGAACTATAAGGGAGGAATTTTTCCTATTTATCACATCCCAACCCTTGCAAAACCTTGCTATGGAAAAAATTCCCATTCCTCCACTTTTTGTGCCGCTTTGCTCCACTTCGCGAATTTTTACTTATAAATATTCATGAAGCAAAATATTAAAAATATTTTTCTTCCTCGACGAAATATTATTTGCCCTCCCCGCTCCACCCCCGCACCCTTCTAATACATTTTTAATGTATCAATGGAATGCAATAATACGGAATGTACAGGGAATTTAATAATTTACGGAAAAAAATTTTAGAGTGAGAGAGAAAAGCAGAGGCAAAAAAGAGATTTCAATAGCGCACAAAATGAGAATTTCTTCTGCATTTTTAATTGCAAGATATATGAAAATGTTGAATATTCAAATGCACGCCATATATATGTAAGCAATTGTTGTACTGTAATTTTTGTCCTCTCCCGTGAACACAGAAGGAATTCTTAGTCAGAAAATGGGTGTCAATGAGTCAATGAGAGCACTTTTGTCTGCAACCCTCCCCCTTTGACACATTGGAAACAGTGTATAGCGTTACAAGAACCAATTAGTTAGATTAAACGACCAACTCTGTGAAATAGTGGATGAATTGCGTGCTCAAATCTACTTAAGATGCGAAAAGTACAAAGTATAAAATACAAATTAACACAATTTACAACAAAACTCCCTCCCCCTCTTTCTCCCCATTTTTTCCCACCCAATTTTCTTCGTCTATTTCTGTCCCAAAACACAATTTGTGTCTTTCTTTGCGAAATAAGCAAAATCTCATAAGGTGCGAGACCAGAAGAGCGTAGCAAAAGTAATAGGATTCATGAGAACGTTCCTAGAGAAACAGAAAAAAGGACAAATTTAATTTTTCTTCCTTCTCTGGCTGTATTTTTTGTTGTCCTCCTGGCATTTTCAGACATTTTTATTCATTCTAATATATGTAATGACCTAAATTTGGCTCAACAATAAAGAAATTTTTTTCATCCTTTCCAGACACACTGGAGAAATCAAGAATTAAGAGAGAAAAGTTTCAAATCCACACCATTTTCACTCAGGAAGGCATCAACAGCATTTTTCCTCTGCTTTTTTTCCTCCTCTTCCGCTACTTGCCACCCTCACACCAATTGAAAGAGTTCAACAGTGAAAGAAAATGGCGAGAGTGAATTTTCCTTCAATCTTACACCTTTATCATTTCATGATTCTTTTGTGAAACAAACCATCAAGGAGGGAAAATGGCGGGGAAATAGAGGAAGTGAAGAAGGTGGGAGAAAATAAAAGTGTCTTCAATCTCCTTTCACCACCCACATCCCCTTCATTTGCCCCTCGCCTACCCTCTTTCGCCCCTCTCTCAGCATTCAAACATTATTCCACCCCACTTTTATATCTCTTTGTGTAATTAAACACGAACTTGAGAACCGGAAACTGATTTGCATATTTTACTATGAAATTCAAATACACACCCATACACGAATACAAAACCTCTCTCTTCACTCCACCTTCAATCATCGACCCAACATAGAAAATTTCCACTTGTAATTTAGTGAGACAGGACAAGGTGGATGTCTCTCGGGCGCTCAAACTTGCAAATAAGCTGCTCTCCTCCGGTGTATAGAAGAAGATTTTCTCTCCTCCCTCACTTTTCTCAAAGCATTATTAATTTAATTCACAATTTCAAACATAAAAGCTTGGTAATTTATTAATTTATAGTCAAGAGGAGAAGAAATTTTCAGCCCAAAACCGTAATTTTATTAATTTATCACACAGTGAATTGAAGAAGATTTTTCATTCACCTCCTCCTCAACATCTTCTTTACACAATAAATTGCCTCAAAGTGTGAATGATGGAGATTTTATTTCTCTCGCTATATACTATCGATTTTCCTCTTCTCACCACACCAACATCAACGCTATTCACAGCTAAATTCTTCCATCAAGTTACATGCATAGATCAAGAGAGTATTGTATATGGTTTCACTTTACTTTAGGAACATTTTTAAGAGTTGATTTTCTGTAGGAATTTAGGTCATCAGTAATTTAAAATCATCTAATCTCTTGCCTCTTTTCCGTTAATCTCTGATAAGCACCACAAAGGACTAAAATAGTACACTTTCGTGAAGGAAATGTTCAATTTTTTTTTTTGAATAAAATACGAAGAATCATGTGTGTATTTTTCAACACCGCCAGCCAAGAAAGACTCGCGGAGGAGATATTAATAAACTTTTAAAACTCACAAATTGATTTTTCAGGCCGGAAAACAAGGGTGGTTTGATGAAAGAGATAAAAGAGAATGGTGGAAAATTTATGCAAAAATACCACGGAAAAGCCACGGAGTGGCATGAGGGAAAATCAATAAGAATGGGGGTATTTTTAGATATTCTATCATTCAGTGATTATTTCTGTGAGGCCCACGAGAGGGGATGGCAGGGGTGGTGGCGAAATTCGCTGCGAGAAGGCGCGATAGAAGGCGTGGAATGAGAGCATTATCTCATTAGAAAGTGATGCAAGTCTCGTTGCTGAGAACCCTTTTCCCATGCCCAGAAAATTCTGCTTCACCTTGTTTTTCCCCACCCATCCAATTTTCCACTATTCACACACACACACACACGCGCGCACACATGCACACACCCAACGACAATGTTAATGATGATGATGATGAAAATTAATACGACATACACTAATTGCGAAAGGATTTCTCACATGCTCCTCATTCTCACATCAAAATACTTTGCCGTCTGGGTTGAATAGTGCATGTAAAGCTTCTCGCTATTGTTGGGTATCAAATAAATAATTAAATTATTGATTTTGCAATTAAATTTAATGACAAAGTCGGATATTATGCTCTGCCACTGTGAATTATTCATTTTGAGAAAATAAACAAGACATTCGTGTAATTGCAGCAAAAGCAATAAATTCAAATAAATTATTCAAATGTCAATCCATTGGAGTGAACTTTTATCTGGCATTTGTCTCGAATTCCCATCAAACATCCCGCCCCTCTCTCGACCCTTTGGGTGTCCCTTAAAATTTCTGCTCTTTTCACATCGTCTCGTCCCACTTCTCCACCCTTTGTTCATCACTTGATTTCTCAAACATCAAAAGAAATGTTGGTTTCCAGAGCAAGTTGCACAAAGGAATGGAGAAAAAAAGAGTCCCCATAATATGGGGGCGCAGAGGGGGCGAGGGTGAGTGAGAAAATTGCAAAAGACAGAGTGGATCAGGATGGAAAAGTGGCAGGGGAGAGACATTGAAAAAAGAGACTTTTCAGGAATTTCCATGCCCTCCCGAAAGAACAGCAGAAAAAGAGGCAGGAATGCGCAGGAGAGGGCAAAAGTGTGTAGACAATTTAATTGATTTCTGTGGTAAATTATTGACAAACAAGAATTGTTGGGGCAAAAGAGAAAATGGGAAAATTACTCACATTTTTGTGTTCCGTTGCCAAAACATCCCACATGGATGCCACAATTTTGGACACTTCGCCAAACGATGCATTGGGATTCTGGCCCTTGATGGCAGCTTGAGTATCACGGAAGAAGAGTGCATAAGCTGACACTGGTCTGAAAAAGGGATGAGAAAGAGGAGGAAGAAAATCAATATGGAAAATTCATGAGTGGCATTATAAATACGCTATTCACCGCTCTCAACCTATGATAATAGAGTAATTTTCTTCATGTCGTGTACTAAGAAATAAATCATCTAACAACACAGTCTGCACGAGAGATCGAGACTCAATGAAGCGGACTAATAAATGTTAAATTTGTGTTAACATTTGTGCTACTTGTACCAACAATGGATTCAAACTATGATTTTAATAATGCTCATACACAACTCGGACATGAATGAACACTATCACGAACCGCCCGCAATTTACGGCCGCTGTGAATGAAGGCGAAGAGTGAAAGAAATTGGAAAATTGCTTCAAGAACTCTTCAAGTTAAGAATTTCAGATGCTGGGATTGCAGATAAGCTTCTGCCAATCGAATAGGCCAATCAAGTCAACTTTTGGAGCGTGCTTAAGCACAATAAATTAACTCTAACAGCGGTAAAACGTAAATTTTCCTTACAATGTTGCATTAAATCATCTTGAAAGACCATTGTTATGGAAAATCGCTCAAGAAAATCAAGAACACTAATTATAGAAAATCGATTATAACCATTCAAGTTGGTTTTTCTCAATGACTTCTCCAAGCTTAAGAGAAAATTACAATTTTTCACCTTCTCAACAACACTCATCGAAAAGTTATTTCAATTAAATGAGACTTTCTTCCTTGAAATTCCACAATAATCACAGGTATTCCGAATCAATGTGCAAATTTGAGGGTTTTTTTTTCTTTCTTTCTTCTTATTTGTATAGAAGCATAAATTGAGAGAAACATTTTGCTTTCATTATTTGTATCATTAATTGCAATTTTCGATGAGATGCGATGAAAATTGCTTTTCAATTTCAATTAGTGAATAAAGATATAAACACTCTCTTTGCCTTCTTGCGTTTGTCTTCATCTTCAAGGTCTAACATCACATTACACATCCCAAAGAGCAGCATCAATTTATCTCTACTTTGCTAAACTCCATGTTGAATTAAATTGATAATTAATTGAACCGAGTGAAAACCATGAACCCACATCACAAAACTTATTTGCATTTTAATATATTGTGAGCTTTTGTACACATTAATATAATTTTAATTAATTTTTAACTTATAGTAGAAAAAAATCAAATATATTTCATTGCAACTCAGTCCAGTTCTCTATCGCGTGTGCTTTATTTCGCCCAGAATTGGAGTTATGGTGTTAGCGGGGAAAAGTTGAAAATTCCTTTGAGTATAAGTGGAAGATGAGAGGCGATAGAACAGATAGAAATTAAATTCTTGCATTTATTATTACAAGAGAATTTAATAAAACTTTTTTTCTTCCTTTGGTTATCTCTTGTTCTTCAATTTAAACAAACTTCCAACACTTTTCACCCTTGATCTTGCTCGCGGGCAAAATTCCACTGTGAAAATTTGAAAGGGTGAGGGAGACAGAGAGAAAATTCCCCGGAAAAAGTCGATGAGAAATTTCTCCGTGCTCTCTCGCGCGCGCTCTCTCTCTCTCTCTCATTCCTCCTTGTCACCGTCGTGTATTTCATCCTGAAAACATATCCAATCCACCCCGCCTCCCCCTCTTTTCCGCCCCATTCCCATTCTCTTTTCCTGGTTTTTTCATCTCTCACCCATTTTACGACAAAATAAAATAAATGGGATGTTTTATAGTCGGTAATATAAAAAGGAGAAAATAATAAAAGCATGACAAGAATAATTTATGAGTAACGAGAACAAATTGATTCTAATCAATAAAATAACGTTTATTTTATACTAGAAAATGTACAAAATGGATAAATTTACTTCAATACCACTGTGACTCTGTCTTTTTCAACTCCTCCACGCCCGCCTCCCACTCGCCCTCCGCCCACTTCCTCCACATCTCCACCGTTCCTTCTCTGCCATGAATATAATGTTTCTCGGACGCCAAATTACGATGATTGAGGAGTACGATGATGAAGAAGAGTGTAAAGTGATTGAGGAAGGGAGGGAAAGAGCAAGAAGTGACGGCGGAGGAGAAGCAAAAAGATGATGATGATAAATGCAAAATTGTTACATTTATCGAATGAGAATATGAGAAGGGAATAATAAATATGTTTTTACAATGAAGACGAGAGAGAGAGAGAGAGAGAGAGAATAATATTGAAGGAAATTTTCATATCTCCCTCCCTCCGCCCCCCCGCGCACTAAATCCTTTCCACATCAATTTTCTCTCTTTACTCACAATATTTCACATTCTTGTACATATGTACACATCTACATAAAATGTAAGCACTTCTTTTATTTCCACTTCTCTTCGCCATCATGATTGTATCTAGGATTACTCTGAAGGGACAGTAAATTCCAATAAAAATGATAATTTGAATAGATTGCATTGCAATGGAATGGCATTTCCATAGGAGGTACACTTTTATTTAGAGACACTATTCCACACAAGGCAAATGGATCTCATTTCATGTAATTGAACTATCCTTTCTATTTGCGACAGAAAACATTATTTGAACATGAAACACTTGACGTGCCATTGAAGTCAAAACGATGCTCTTCACTTTGCAGAATTATGAATTGCATAAAATGTTTAGAATCGCTTGAAGCACTAGAATGATGGAAAGTGTTCAGTAAGTGATAGTAATCATGTATGCCAGACGAAAGCATATCTGAAATGGTTTTCGCATTCTCAATGCACTTAAGCGGAAACTCCTAATTTTAAGCTGAATCATTTAGTCGCATTTTTACTGACATTTCAGGTGGTTTCACGTGAATTATATTGTTTCATTTCTACCAAAATTGTTCTCTATGAAAATGTTCCCCTCAAGTGGAATGTGGAGAAGTGTACAAACACTCGAAAAGATGTTTAATAAAAGACAATTTTCGAAAATGCAAATAAAATAATATTATCCTAGTGAGATATGTTGACTTCATGTCTCTTTTTTATCATCTTCCACTTCTCATTTTGCCCCGTTGAAATTGCGATTTCATACCCTTTCTGCTCACTCCTTGACTTGGGCGGCACTTTAAATAAGGATGGCGGCGGTAAGCTTCACCAAATGAAATAACAATAACGCGAAAAAATAAACAATTTCGCTGTAGTCTCGTTGAGAGAACGGAAATACAATATTTCCATCCTGTCGTTTCGGGAGGCGGGCTGCCGACGACAAGTGGAACACGATCCCCAACTTTTCCATCATCACATCCCAAACCACCCCAAATGTTTCGTCCCGAATACACACACTTTTTCGCCATTTCAATTCAATTTATACCCCACTATGTACACACTCACGTAATATATGTAATAAAATGTGTATTCTATCGTCATTTATTCAATATTATGTATTTTTTACCATTCATTTTTCCCTCCTTTTATTGCATTTTGTTCCTTTCACTCACCAGCCGTCCTCCCCCGAACCCCGGCACACATGATACGGAATGCCAACATTAAATTGTTAACGATGGCAATAGGAAGCAATAATTCCTATATGTATAATTTGTTGCAAGATAATGAAATTTAATTGGTAAACACCATGGAGAGAGAGAGACAGGAAAAAATACTACGCAGATTGGTGAGATTTATTCCTCTTTCCATCTCACTTGCTCTCTGTTTCCTCAAACACCCAATTTTCATGCATAGCCAGCGAGTACAATAAGATAAAATATTTGCATTTAACTTTATTTGCAAATTGAAATGAAAAAGTAGAATTTTTCTCATTCTCCCATATTTTTTTTCTTCTTTTGCTTTTCATACATAAAGAGGATGGAGAAAAACAACAAGCAATCAATTTAACGCTGTTTGTTCAAACACACGCATAGATTTTTACATCAAAAAGAATAGGAAAAAAAACATAGAAAAATATTCTTTTGCCTTTTCCCCCCTTTTAGCAGACACAAAAACTTTTCCATGTACCCATTATTGCGACAATAAGTTATACACAGCATTAAAATCATTTAGCAATTCAAATGATTATTCACCATTGTTATTTTCATATCTCAAAATTGCTTGATTGACAATATGTCTCAGTCAAACATACATTTTCTAAATAAGCAATTTATCGTGTGCAAATAGAAATAAGATGAACAATGAGGCTTAAATTTACAGTAGGGCGAGAGGGAGAAACAATAAAGGAACGACAGAGACACAATTGCAATTGAGAGACTTGAGGAAATACCAAGATTGAGTACACATGGGAAGAAATATGACATGAGAGAGACAATTTTCTTCAGCAATATCTTGTCTTACGGTTTTGTCTTCGAGCCTCATCAATTAAAAAAAAAATCACGGTCAAAGTGGCGCCCAAAATTCGCAAAGACTCAATCGAGTCACATAATATTGGGAAATTTGCAATCAGCTCAATTGCCAATTTAACCGATATGCTGGAAGTGACTCGAAATATTTCAAATTATTTGCAAACACTGTGGAATATTTGATAATTTATTCAAGTGTGTTATTGTACACAAAATTATTGCAAATATTCCAAGAGTTCCTCTTCACCCAAAATCGATGCCAAACATTTGGTCAACCACGAAATTTTCCAATACATTCATGGGGTTTCTCTGTCAACAGCCACATAAGCAGAAGATGAGTAAATTGGATCGCGTGACTGTGCATGTGACTTTAAAAGAAGGGATTTTTTGCAAACATGCTTCATAATTTCAGCGATAAAATGTTCAATTTAGGAGAATGTGTAAAATTCTTTAGCATAATTCAAGTTAAATTCCCTCAACTTTCCACAATGTCAATATAGATAACATTTAACTATTCACTGGATGAAAAACTCTTTATCGGAATTATCACAGTTGGCAATGTAATTATATTGTTTTCAGGGCCTCTCGCGAAACTTTATCAACAGAAGAAACACTAATCTGAAGACATGAAAAGATAAAACAAAGTACTCACTTTTGTGGTTCATTTGGATCTCTCTTCTTTTTCTTCTTCTGCACTTTGGGCTTCTTGCTGGCCGAAGAACTTGCTCCCTTTGCGCCCTGCAAATTTCCATTTCCGTTGGGTGAATTTGCTGAATCACTCATTAATGGTTCCGGTGATGGTCGTTTCAGTGAATTTATCTGCAAAATAAATGGTCAATATTGAGTATCAATTGGGTAAAATCACTGCATTTAGCGAAGGAAGCAGTCACGAAGAAGAACTAATTAATTCTCACGTGATTGTGGCAAAAACCCAAAATTTATTATGAATTGAATTAATAGTGCTAAAACACATACGTGTGTGACTATGGAGGTGGAAACATAATAAATGTGTGACAGAAATAAAGGAATAAATATTTGAAATTAGCACGAAAACAGAAATGTATTTTCAGTCACATTCATATTGATGAAATAATAAAAACTCTGCATGGAATGTAGGAAAAAATAACCTCAGCAGAAGAGGTCGAATATTTTTTCCACTTAGTCTCTTACTTAAACAACACTTCTTGACTTCTTTGCTTTACATAAATCACAAGAGATTGATATAATTTGCAAAGATTCTCATTAAATTTTGCAATTCGTCATAAATTTCATTCGTATAAAGTACAGTCATAAAATTAAAGTTTCTCAGTACTTTTCTCTCTCTCTCTTTCTCGGCATCTTTTATAGTATAGTTAGAAAGACACCCAGTAAATTTTGTCTTCCCATCGCGATGTCCTCAATTTATCCATCTTCTTCATCGGTGTCGCTTTAGCCAAAGTGAAACTCTTTGAGTGCAGAGAGACAAACATCCGGTTTTGAGATAAGGAAAATTTATTAATCAGAAAGAATGCTGCTGCTTTGCTGTCTGTGTTCCTCACATGCCATGAAGATGAAATTGGCAAAAAGACACACATAAAATGTGTAAAAGCCATTTGATTGAATAATAATGGCAACACAAACTTCAACTTCTAGAGACCAGAGAGAAAGAGAGCTTTTTTCTCCTCTCTCACATCTCTCTGCCCATTTGGTCTTTTGCTATTAAAAAGCTTCTATAATAATGTACAAGAGCCTGGTTGTAATTTATATGCTTCTCATCTATGCAACAACCAGTTAAAACTTCCAATTTCTCTTCTTATTGTCAGTTGCATGAGTGGAGAGACTTTTAATTTACATCACGGCAAATGTTTAATTTCCCATTTTCTCTTTCATTTTATGCACATTTCTTTTAATGTACATTTCAGATATTTGCAAAGATACAGAATGTCTCGATCTAGATGCTCCACTCAAGAGCCAAATTATTTTGTTGTATGTTTTATAGACATGGAGCCAAAGAAGAGGAATGAAACACCTTGTATTTCAGTGTTTTTCATCTTGAGGAATCGTTTTTCCACTAATTTTCCCCCTTCTTTCGTCATTTCAACTCCCTCGTGTTTTGATACTTCACCATGACTCATTCTCTCCAGCTGAATCAAAATTGTATACTTTACTGTTCCTCCCTTATTCACCAACATTCCCACTTCATCCCCTTTTTCCGCGTAATATTTACACACATTTTGCAGTGCAAAATTACTGGTGGAAAAACTTTTCTCCCATCCTGAGAGGTTTCTTCATTTTGCTGTTTTTCTTCATCACTCAGAGGAAAACTTTTTTCTTTCTTTTGTGCCACACTATACGAAAATTTGCAGAATATTTTGTATTTAAGGCCATGCGAATTGTTTGTTCCACTCGTTAAAAACACACCTTTTATTTTCCCGCTCTTTTTGATTACTTGTGAAATTTTCATAAATAATTTCCCCCTAATTTCCTCACAGTCATTCTTCACCCCCCAAACACTACCAGAAAAATGCAATTTTAACCTTCATAATAAATTGCAATTTCCACTTTAGCTCGAGATTGGAGAAATGAGATGGAAAATTGCAACTAATAAATAACATGCATTTAGCAAAATATTTCCCCTCTTACAAATATTTTGTTATTACGTGATAAATGAATTTTCTCACACAATTTCACTCCCTCTCTCTCTCTCATATATGTATGCAGACTTATGAGAGGCATTACACAATATTGACTGCGATCGAGAGAGTGAAGACCTCTTCTTGCAAATCCACAATCGTTGAAATGATACAATCGCAGACAAAAATGCTACCTTTCGCAACAATTCCCACCCACTAAGAAATCAATGAAATGCTTTTATTTACAGCCTGACAGTAGTAAAATTCACCCAATTTCGCATGATATTTTTAGCAGCATGCATAAAATGTTTATTTTTAACCCTCTCAAAATGGACAACATTCCTCACTCACCCCCCAATAAGCGTCTAATTGTACGACAGTATGGCAGATTTTGCAAGAGGTGCAGAAAAAATGTATTAAATCGATAAAATTTTCCCCCTTTTTCGCTCTCTTTTCATATATACACACACAATTTTTCACCCTCACGCTGAATTGCCAATTTTCTCTCCAATACACTTGATTTCAGGCAGAGGAAAATTGAATTTTCCATCGTCTCCGCGTGAGCCCACAAATAGCGTATGCATTAAATTACCCCCCAACCAGAACCTCTCCTGGTGAAACACACCGTCAATTTTGAGTGCAAACAATCTCTTAACAGTGACTACAAGAGTGAGAAAGTAATTAAATTACGCCACTTGTTTATACGGCAAATAAAACATTGGCCACTTGAGAGAGGCTCTGCAAAAATTGCTCAAGAGGGCGCGAATGCACATTGATGTACTCACAGGAATTCCATTGTCATCACTATCGTCACTCGTGGTGCCCGTCTCCGTTTGTCCGTGGACCCCCTGCGGCGGCGATCGGCCAATGAAGGCCCCGCCGGCGCCCCCGATTTGCGGCGACATCTGAGGCGCCATTTGGGGCGACTGCTGCGGCGGCTGCATCATGAGCATCTGATGCGTCGGCTGCGGCGTCTGGTGGTGCGTGGGACTCGTGAGGGGATAGTTCGGCTGGCCCTGTGGCTGCATTGAGTAACTCGTGCTGAGGAGGAGTCATTGGGGAGCATTGATTACAATATACAATTGTCATTCAGTCAACCAAAACGGACTTTTTCCATGTGTCCCAAAGGGAAAGTCACTCGCAATTTCAGACCACTAACTTTGTGATATTTTGCTGAATATATTAAATTTTTGAATATTTTGCAGTTTTACTTGGAAAATAAGCACTTTTTCAACCAATATTCAAATATTTGATTAAAACCATTAGGATTCTTCAAAAGTCGTCTAGTGACTTTCCCTTTGATGCGTCCGGATACTCACTTGTGGTGCCCCATGTGCTGAGGCGGCTGATCTGCGTGCCACTGGTGACTGTAGTGATCGCCCATCATGGCCATGTGATGAGGAGGCGTCGAGTGCATCTGATACTGATGCTGCTGAGCCTGCTGTGGCGGATGCTGCTGCTGGGCCATGTGGGGCGTCATGGGGGGAATGTCGAAATCCTCATCACCGAAGGATGGTGTGTGAAATGTCTGTCAGGATGACAAAAAAGCAGAGACAAAATGAATTTGACATGAAAATCTAACCAAAACCTTTGGAAAAGAACACTTTCCACCCCATTCAATTCTCCTCTTCTTCCACTTGTATTAGCAAACATGACCAATTTGCATAATTTTCACCCAAACATTTTGCTTATACACGAGTAATATTGCGGTGGTTCAGGGGTTTTGCGGACGAGGGGAGAGATGTGTCTGCCCCTCGTTGTTTTTGGGGTCCCTTCAACGGAAAACCGTTCGTGCAATTGTGCACGTTTTTCCCAGAATAACCAAGAGACGTCGCACATATACAACTTGTTACACTAATTAATCTGTAAACAAAATAAATTGAGGGTTTCTACCCCAAATGCCGCCCATCTTTTGGCCAAGCGGACACTCTCTCAGTGGCTACTTCTTGCACTTGTGAACATTCTCTGGTGTTCCCTCTTTAACGATCATTCGATGGTGAGCGGCAAACACCCACAAATGACCTGACCCAGGGGAGAGAGACAGAAACTCCAGGAGCTCTCCGCTCATGGGGAACAGCATCCCACAGCGTGGCGACGGGAGGAAAGTGGAGGAGAATCTGCCGTAGCAAAAAAGAGCTTCTCTCATGGCGAAATGTGGGAAGAGACTCCAAAGGGGGAGGTGAAGAGAAAAAGCAAACCGCATACATTTTATCATGTTCACACATAATTACATCCTCATTATTCTCATTGTGACACACAAAACATACAAAAAAAGATACAAAAAGCATCTCTCTCTCATGCGATAATTGAGAATTACGATTAAAGTTTTCAGTTCTTGTTTGCTCCTTCTCCTCCCTGCCATGTTCCTCTGTTTTTTTTTTCTTTTATTGTTCGACAGTCATTCAGAATATAATTCTTCAGTTTGTTGTGCACAATTGAACAATTTCTCATTTATCCATCAACAATAAATTATCTCAATAATTCCAGGCAATTTTCCTTCATCTCTTTAGAGCAAAATGCAAATTCATGAATTATTCAAAAAGTGGGCGATTCCACTATAATGTGTACATACTTCTTACTGTCTCATTGACATTTTCCTCTCTTTGGTGGTAAACAATGACTTTCATCTCAGGAATTTCACAGGTTGTAATTCATTAAAAATTATGCAAAGGAGGAAAATATTTCAATTGACTACTTCACAGAAACTGAGCTCTTTTGCAACATAAGGCATAGAATATCAGATTATCTCTAGACACAGAAAAAGATCGCACTTAAATATAACATGGCATTTTCACTTCCGTCTCTCCCATTTTTATCATACCCTCCATACCTTATTGTCTCTCCTCACAGAGTGCTCCAAATGCTCACTGGGGAATTTATCAAACAGCCCAGTGGAGAACAGACATATTCTCATTCTCAAACTCAATAATAATTTACCCCAAGTGACATCGATAGTCGATAAATAATTCGTTTTGAATATAACATTGTTGTCGAATTTTCAAATTTATTGCTCATAAGCTTTTTGAGGACATGTATTAGTTTTCAGTGAATACCTTCGCTATACATAAATAAAAGATCACCTCTATTGCAGCATATTTCTCTTTCTCTTGCAACAAAGTTCTTCTTTTTTTTCGTCATTCACCAGAGAATTGTTGATGAAAGAGAGGAAAAAAGAAGGACAGAACTGGGATTATTTTCGCGTGTTGAATTTCATCTCGGGAGAAACTCTATATCCAACATTTCATTCGAAAAATCAATTAATTGGTGATTATTTTCCTCCTCCATCCACAGAAAACTCTTAATCGCATTTCATTGCTCATTGACCTAAATTGTTGAAATAATTGATTTTTACTGCTTCTCCTATCATTCTACCCAAGCTGAATTCGTACCTGATAGCTTCAACAGATTCTCTCTTTCGCGTCTCTCTCGCTTCACACGAAAATCTCTTTAGTTTATCATTTATTCCCCCTTTTGTGAGGACAAAATTCAAATCGATTCATCAAATAAATGAGTATTTGAATTTTATTGTGTTCCTTTCCATCCATTTCAACTCTCCTTTCATCCCATTTCCTTCCCAGGCACAATATTTATTATCTCCAACGACCAAAGAAATCAAAGAATCTTTCAATACTCCCAGCGAATTGCTAAGGAAAAACAGAAAATCAACAAATATCGCTATTATTGGATCTTGTGGAAGAGGTTGAAAACATAAAAAGTCAGGAAAAATCACCAAGAAATGTTGGGATATGTAGCGAAAAAGGAGCACCAAAATAGAATTCATTATAATATAACAATGCGCAAAAGGATGAAGTTCACTGGAAAGAAGAATGTCCAAAGACTCTCGAAACTGTATCGAAACACTTTTAATTTATTGGCCCATTCTTTTGCATGTTTCTCCACCTCATGCAGTTGTTCTTGAAAATCTTTTGACATATCGTCATCCCCCAACCAGAAACTCTTCCCCACTCTTTCACCCCATGTCGAATTACTCTGAGCCGATCGCTTCCTTCCTCTAGATTTGCTCTTTTATATGATTTTTTTTTATAAATATTCACCACACTGTATGGTTGGACGACCCTTTTCTTGTTTATTTATTCGCATTATTGCCCTGCTTCATGTATACCCATTTTTTCCACATAAAGTACACACATTCACTTTTGTTAGTACAGCATAAAATAAAATAAAAATAGAGAGAGAGAGAGCTTTAAAACATATACAGTTAATACAAGTTGATGTAGTCATCGATATGGAAATGGATCTTGTTATGTCGCAGAATAAATTACACTGCCTCAACAGCCATACAATGTATTTTAATTTATTTAATTCCATTGTTTTTCTTCCCCATTTGCCTTCATTTGCCTTTCTTTTTTCTCTCTCTCTTTCACTCTCTCTCTAACACAACCACTTTGCCAACCCTCCGCACACTTCTTGTCCCCCCATTTTTCCTCGTTGCCATTCTGTGCTCATTTGAAAATTCCTCTAGTGCTAATTTATTTATCAATTTGGGAAAAAGCACCCATCAGAGTTGTGTGGGAAAAAGAGTGCGAAGCAAGAGGCATGTTGATTGAATGAATACATTTAATTGGGAGCAATAAAATCTTATCGTGAGACAAAAATAGGCGAGAAAAAAAATTAATAAATCTCTCATTGGACTATTTTAGATAATCAATGTGTCTTCGTGGAACAATAACATTAAAGCGTAGAATAGATATGGAGGAAAAAATGTGTAGAACACTGATAACAACCAGTGTCAAATGCTGGATGAGGAGAAAGGTTAACCTTGGCTCTTAACTGTGATATCTTCAATTGCTGTGCGTGACTTCCTCACAACTCATGAGATTTCACACGATACGTTTTATCATGTTTTTTTTTCTTCTTTAATATTTCTCAACTTTTACAAAGTGTCCATGTAATTGCATTATTCGTCACGCAATTCCAGTTGCAGCTGAACATGAAAAAAAAACGCCCATCTTTCGGTCCATTAGCTTCCATTTCTCACTGTGTAGTTTTTACCATTTTCTCACTCCTCGCCTGGCTTATCGCAGCTCCACTTCAAGTCCAAAATACTCATTAATTAGACTCTCCCTGCGCACAGACGCACAATTTGGAATCCTCTTTTTCTGTCGTGCATCTCCAAAGACACCCAGAATAAATAGCTTAATTGCGTTCAATCTTCCACTCTGTCTTCAAGTCATTTTCCCACAGAGAAATTTTTGCTTGATGAAAAAGTGAGAATGAGAAAAAATTTGCTGATACGATATATCGTCATCATAAACATTACAATTGCCATTTTGGTCATTAATAAATGTTAATAGCAAGTAAAACAGGCACATAAAACTGATTATTACACAAACAGTGAGTCAGTCATAAATAAAAGTTAAAGTGAAAGTTGTTGTTCTCAGTTAATCATAAATAAATATTTAATTACATGTCTTCTAATTTATCCTCAGCACTTGGTGGGCATATTTTTAAAAGCACATGTTGAGACCAACACTGCCGGCACCAAATTGGACATCTGGGTGGATTTTGAGCAGACAATCTGCAAGTCAAGTGTTTATGATTCAAAGCCGAGAGGGCATTTTCCTCACATTCTTTTTGCGCTGGATCAGAAGAAGGAACAACTTTTTTATTATTCATTCACTTGCCAATTTGACATGAGAACGAGAATGTGCATATTTTCCTCATAAATCAATTTCAAGCATTTTTACCGAAATAAAACCAACATTTTCCTCCTTTCAAACTCATTTCTATTTGCAACATGAGAAGAAATAAGGCTGGCAAACAAGCTCTGTTCGCGAGGGGAAATTTAAATGATCGAAGAGAGATAAATTTAGAGAATGATTGCAATGTTAATTGAGAAATATCTCAAAATAAAATTATAAAAGGCAACACAAAGTGGAAGGGAAGCTGCACAGTGAATTCCTCACACTGCTTCACATCAAATAAATCAGCAATCCCTCTCAATTTCCTCAAAAGGCTTCAAATTATCACTATGGTGAATCTTCGACCCTCTCTTATTTTGATTTTCTCTCCATCTATCCTTTCAATAAATATCAAAAGAGATTCACAGACATTGAGGATGACAAAAGCAAAGGAACAATGGAGGGGTGAAAAGTTAGTGGAATAAAAAATACCCTCCATTTTCAGCTCAACAGAAATAAATTTCATTGAACAACTTTTTTTTTGCTGTAAGAAAAATTGACTCCTTTTCCTCTGACACTCCCCCATTTTTTTGCCACGTCGTTTTGCGGGGAAACATCTAATGCAATTTTGACGATTAAAGAGGGGAAAAAAAAACTACAGTTTCACCCAATGAACGGCATAACGAGTTAAGAGAAGTGCTAAAGTGACAGAAGAAAATCTCGCATAATAAATTTCAATTTACTCTTAAGATCTTGCATTCTAATCCTTAATGCTGAATAATTCATTACCTTCTATTCTCCTTTTATTTTCATACCGAAACGAATTCTTGGCAATTTCATCTCATTATTTTTCTTGAAATCCAATGAAAGAGACTGTGTCGTATTCATCCACTTTTACTGTTATTTGCCATAACATTAAACTCCTTGGAGGCTTCATTTGCGCTCTTTCATAATGTAGCACATGATAACACACTTTATTGCCTCACTTTGACAATTATTTGAACTATTTTGCGGAAGGTTGAGTGAGAGAAGGAGAGAGACAGGACGATTAATCAATAAATATTACACTGTATGTTCGCGTGTAAAATCTCTCCCTCCTATTGTCGATGCAAAGATTCTCAAACTGTCTTCCTTCGTCGAAAAATTATTAACATTTGTGCCGTGTCACGATGGAAAAATGACTCAATGGATTTCACATCGTTTTTCTTCGCTCATTCCACCTTTTCTCTCGTATTATGTATAGTCAGAGAGATTTGAAATATTCCTCTTCATCAATTCCCTCGCACACAAAAAAAAATATTTTATCAATCTCAGGTGTCAATAATACCTTCTCTACGTGTTAAATTGAGAGATTTTTTATCCATTCGCGCTAAATGTAGTTCTCTTCGCGAGTCTAGCTATATGTTTTCACGATTTATCAAGAAGAAATCCAATTCAAGAAGGGAATTATTATAACCATTTCAGAGTTGTAATATTATTACAATGTGGAAGCGAGCGAAAAACACCCGCAATCCTAGCCACAGTAAAGCAAAGCTATTGCAATGGCTGTTCGGCTTATCCGGCAACTATTGCCATTCCTATTAATCTCACCTGGTCATTCATGTCGAAATGCTGCGTACTGTGCTGATGATGACCGTTGTATTGTGGCACCGATAGAGCGACGTCGATACTCTCGTCGTTTCTCTGCAAAAGAAGACATTTGCGGAATTAATTACAGACTCCATGTGAAAATTACTATTACAAAAATTCGCCAGAGATCAATATTGCTCGATTAGAATGAAAATTACAGTGTTGTACAAAGTGATTTCTTCTATTCCAACACATTCCCGCATAGGCACAGGCTCTCTGCCAGTGCAGCAGAAAAAAAACTCTACACCAATAGACTTTTAATTGAATTTGTGATTTCAATGATTGAACAAATTTATACGAATTAGATTTTACACAAATGACCAAGGAAAAAACTCTCTCCATGTGCTGCGAACATGGTCGTGCTTGTCTCTTCGGAAATTTCCATTGGATTTTCCACACTCGTCTTTCACTCACTGTTTCTCTACAGCCAAAAACACCACTCACACTTTGTGATTTCAGCACATTTGGCAATTTTCAATTAAAAACGATTTTCATGGATTCGCATTTCCCACCGCTCACACACACACAGCCATTCTTCTCAATTTCACTCACATTTCCCATTTGGGTTGCAGGAGGGAAAATCAAAGCTTCAAGTTTCTCTCTACAATACCGTTGTGGGCTTTTAATCAATAAATTCCAGCCCAAGGAACGATGAATAGATGCCAAAGTCACATATGGGGAAGTTATTAATGAAATTCACCTTCTGACTAAATTGTTTAATAATAATTTATCTCCTCTCATTAATCCTCTGTGCAAATAACTCATTCGGCCCAGAACAATTTTCCTCTCTTTTCTCAATCTCCCAGAGATGGAGAGAGAGTCAATGGAATGCCTTCTCACGTTATATGCTGATGGATAAATGTACAACAATTCCTACTACAAAACAGCAATCGCATCACGTCCTGAACACTCAGTGCAGAAAGACACAAAAGAAGTGAATAGAAGGAAAATACAAGTAATGAAACGTTCTACCAACTTGGTGGTCTTCAATTTGGTTTTCTTGTTACTTCCCATCTTCTCTCACATGTCTGACTAAATTGAATTAAAATTGATCTTTCAAGAGAATTAAATGCAACAACACAAATCAAATTCACCTTCAAGTATTTTAATTAAACCCCCCCGAAAAAAAGGAACTTTTCACATTGTCTCTCTTTCTCTTTATATTATACCTCCTTCCAAAATGAAGTTTTGTCCGACAATTTCACGCCACATTTCGTTTCTCATCATCAACATTAATCCATAGGCTATTGACTTTTTCGCCACAAGACCCTCAGCTGAACACGAGTAGAGTATTTTGTACGAGAAACGGAGAACAACAAATGGGACAAAAATCAATTAGCCAGATAAGAGAGAAAATGCCGAGGAAAATCATTGCAATTGTGCAGAATCAACGAAATTCCACCCAATTCAGTTACTAAATCAAATGACTATGTTGCAGAATATAATTAAATTCTATTCTTGAAGTGAAATTTATGCAAATTCAGAGGGTTCACTCCGAATGTGCGATGCAGTATTCGCACCAGGAGTGAGGGTGCTTAGAATTAATAGCAATTCTCAAATAGTTTTTCATCATTTTGGGAGAAAATGGCTGTTTGTAATTGCTTCAACTGTAAATTATTAGTTAGGGTGGAATATTTGAGACACACAGTGTTGAACATTCCCTCCGACATCACTTGGGCAACACAGTCGTAAAAATTTAATTTGAAAGCCAGTTTTTTCGTGACCAATTTCATTAAACGACCTCTTTGAAATGTGATATCAATCTTTGAGGTCTCTTTTACTGACGCATAATCTTTGTTTTCTCAAGCAAAGAAAACACACAATCTCAGGATGTTTTCCCAAGGCTGTCTGAGGACATACAAAGTCCCTACGAATCATAATTACAGTCACAAGAACAAATCTTATCAGGATAAGGAAAAAGTCACTTTGCAAAGAGACAATATCTTCACAACTTCTGTATAGAGATAAAAAGTAAGTGTAGCGCGCTGAAACACCTTGACAGACAATCTCATTTCTTTGCTTACACAAGTGTGAAAAAACTTGTAAAATTTATACAATTCCGAAGGTCTATGATATTAAAATGAGAGTATTCAAATGTTTCTCAGCGACATTAGTTAAATATACTCCGTATATTCCTTTTTCTCAGTCCATTTTCTTGTGCAATAACATTTAAATTTTATTATTATTTTAAGAGCCATGTAAACGAAATTCTTATTTGCTTGTATGTACAATCAACTCGACTGTACATAGACTGCTAATGCCTCTTGTACCTCCACTCTTGTGATACGTAGAGAGTCTTTTCAAGTGGAGATTGAGGAAAAGGAGGGAAGAAAAACCAAAAGATTTCACTAAGATGTGTGTTGCATTAAATTTGAGAGAGAAAAAAAGAGACTAAGGAAAAGAGAGGCAGCAAAAAACGACAAGATAAACCTCTTGACACTTATCTATAACTTACTATCTTATTGTGGTGTCTTATATGCCTCTTTTTATATATTTTATCCAAACATGGATGATGATGAAAAAAAGCCCAAGAAACTTAATGAGTTTATTGAACAGACAAGAGGGAGAAAAATTAACAGTGGAGCACAAAGTGGAGAGGAGGAAAAAAGAAAAACTTCAAACTAATTAAAGGTAAACTCAAACTCAAATATGTTATTCATTCTAATCAAGCCAAACAACGAGAGAGATGATGAAAAAACCACCTTAAATAAATAGGAAAGATTGTAATCAATGTATAAAAGGTGGAGAGAAGGAACTTCTCAAAAATTAATAGTGAGACAGTGGAAAAAGGCAACAACGAAAAATCCGAGAGGAAAATTAAACACGAAATTACAATTAAATTATAATTACAGTGTCGAAAGGGGTGGGTGGAACAGAGAGAAAAAAACAAGCACAGACAAATAAGAAACTGACTCAAATTAACGGCATACAAATTGTGAGGAATTTCGTAAGATGGAGAAGGAAAAAAGTCTAGTTGTACTAATACAAAAATCAAACTTTGTAAAGCAAACAACATTTTCACCCTCAACCTTCTTGTCTTTGGACTGAATAAAAAGAAAATTATTTTGATGAAATGCAAACAACCTGAAATGCGCACTCAAACTACCTTGACTTTAAACTCAACGTCAACCCTTTAAATTCACGGACACGAACTTCCCAAATAGTTGGCGCTCAACATATAAGAGTCAACAATGAAGGGACAAATAAGAAGTGTTTTTCTCGGGATTTCTGCAAACGAAATAGAAAATGTGACTGAATTAATGCAGAAAATTTCGGTGACGTGAACAGAAAATATGAGATCACGAGCCCATCGCAATGCAGAGCATCGCGGAGAAATTATATTCTTCGGCGTGTAGTCAATGCAATAAAACCTCTTCCAGCTCGTCAAGCCAGAGAAAGACCAGAGAGTATTAAATTGACTCAGTCGAGTGTACACATTTTCTTTGCAGCGCACAATCATATTAATGTTGGGGATCTAGATAAGGAACGATAATATAGTATTTAATTAAATTTTAAACGAGATTCTAAGGGAGAACGAGTGAGATGAACGGAGACAGCGTTTGACATATTACAAGGATGTTGTCGAGGGGCGCCTCGACAAGACACTGCGCGCCTTTCTTATTAGGGAATTAAGCCAAATATATTTCGTGTATCGTCTCTCGTTCTTCCTGTCTTTGTCTCTCGCGCGGCACTTTCCCGACCAACAACTGCTGCCATTGAGAAAAATCACTTGAGAGAAATTTGATCCACCACCGGATGTTGAATATTTTTCAATTAATTCCTCATTCATTGCCAATCAATTTAATTAATCAGCATTTTGGGGTAAATTCCGGGAAGTTATCTCAATTATTCTCACACTTTATAACATCTCCATTCGGATATTATGTTTCAACAAATGATAAATAAGCTGACAATGATGTAATAAAGTGTAAATCATTGAATAAATACGTACAAGTTTTATTAATTGAAGGCATAGTGAACTTCAGAATATGTTTTGGACCTTTTCTCACACTTACGCTTGAAAAATGAGCTAAGAACGTGATAAAGCAGATATTTCACGGCATAAGTGAAAAAGTGCGAAGGAAAATATTCATTTTCCCGAACTAAAAACACACCTTCTGCACCTAAAGTTGTGTAGTAAATGAGAGAAGATATTTTGCACAATAATTTACCTTGTTTACACAATTTTCTCATCCTCCCATCAGTACTTAATACACTTAGACAGGGATGAAAAATTCTCCAAGGGAGGTGAATTTAAAGTTTTCCCATTAAAGGGGGAATGGGAGGGATGATACATGAGGTAAATAGGTTGAAGTAAATTACAAAATTTTCATTGATAATTAAAATCTACGTAATTTGACGATGTCGAAGATGTTTTACGAAAGTAAGGTTAACAACATCCCAGTTAAGTGAGATTAATTTTCATCCAGCGAATTTACAAAATTTATACAACTCTCTTCGGATTTAACTTTTGTCAAACAAGAAAGCTTCAAATGAGCTTTCTGCTCCCTCAACTCAACACACACTCATCAGCCGCCATCAGAATTTCAAGTGATTTTCTCTGAAAGGCAAAAATGTGTAAAACTTCTCCCTGGGCACAAGAAGGGAACTCCTTCGCGTCAAATGTGAAAAAGAAAAGATTTCCAGGGCGACAAGAGAGAGAGAAAGAGAGATTTCCACATGTATAAGGAAAAGCATACAAATTCATTTCATAAATTAAATAGTTTTCCTCCCTTCCTTTCGCGCACTGACACTTTTCTCAATGTGCTTCCCATAGACATCATCTACATCGCGAAGAGGGTGGAAAACAAGAGGAAAGAGGACGAAAAGTTTAAAACTTTCAGCAAATTGTCTGCTTTCGAAATAAGCAAAACTTATTTAACTTTCATTATGGGAAGCAAAATAAATTGCATTCATTGCGCGCGAGGAAAATTTTCAATGAGAATTTTCACTCCTATGTATGTAATAAAATGTGTCTCTCCCAACCCTTAAATGAATGAATTTTGAATGGAATTTCATTAGGATTTATCAACATTTCATACACAACACCCATT